TGGTATTGGTCATGAGGTGCTAGTTATTTGGGTCTATAATGTTATATTTGGAGATGGTTTACATTATGGCGCACCATATGTGGCATATCTATACCCCCCACACACGCACAGACACACACACATATATGTATATATATATATATATATAAATATATATGTATACATATATGTATATATGTATGTATGCATATTGGGTGGAAGGCTGAGACGAGAGCTTACGATTTTGGAAAGAACAGCAGCCAATAGTGTCACGCAATATAATATATGAGTCTAAAATTAGAACAATCGTTTCATCTTAAAGCCTTATCTTATCTATCTATCTATCTAAGGCCTTAAGGCCTTATGAGAAAGCTATCTCAGCCCGCATGGGTACTTCACAGATGAGACACGGTCCTTCGTGTCGCCCAACCGTTGGTTGTAAATCGTGTCGCCCAGCTGTTGGTTTGAAATCGTGTCACCCAGCCGTTGGTTGTAAATGGTGTCGCCCAACCGTTGGTTGTAAATGGTGTCGCCCAACCGTTGGTTATAAATGGTGTCGCCCAACCGTTGGTTGTAAATCGTGCCGCCCAACCGTTGGTTGTAAATCGTGTTGCCAAGCCGTAGTTGATAACGAAAATGATTAATCACCCAAACATATAAGATTGTGTGTAAACACCGGGTTCAAAGTGTGTTTCACTTGCTAATAAGTGTCTAAAACTGCATGACGCATGAGAAGTGCCGCGCCTAGCAAATGTAGCATTTCTTGGTTCTACTCAAAGTGGAAGGTGTTTACAGCCTCTCCAGACAGTTAAGCTATGTGGACTTGATTTATTGAATTGATACCGTCTGTTTTTCTGACCTGTACGGTCAATGGTCGAGTGGAAGCGTAGGTTGTGTAGCGCACCGTGTATTTTGTTTTGATCATATATTCACAGAAAGGGATGAAATAAACTAAAAGGAAAAAGTTGAGCATGGTGCGCCTACCTTGGCTTACACCCAGGAAGGGAGACCGCATTTATGCCATAATTCCGCCTCCTGTCTCGTGCTAGGCTGGACTGGCGAGGACGCGTCGCATGCCGCTTTGTCACGACCACCCAGGGCAGGTAAGCCCTTTAAAAATACACTTCTTAGGGTTGGCCGTCTCTGAAGCAAAAACAACACTGTTTAATAAATAGCAATGTAGCCTACACGCGTTTAGTTGCCTTAGTACGGTGACCGTGTTTTTCTTTAGTGGTAATTTGCTCCCTCCCCCTACGCAACTCCTGGACAGCTTGTTCAGTACCGATACACGAGGTTTAGCTGTTATCATTGCATCGCTTAGTAAACAGGTCTCGTGAAGTTGTTTATGCATAGCACTACATCTCAACGTGAGGCCTATGAAATACCTCACTGTACTGCAAACACATTCATTCTATCCTGCATATTTGCCACACCCCTATCCAGGCGAACGACACTTCTAGCTTGATCACACGAGCGATAGCAGATAAATAATGTGAAGGTTTCCGTTCGTTCTGTTTTGTATTCGTCCTCTTTCGTGTACCGGCAAATTGAAAATATCCAATGAGTCTGCAGGTAAAAACAGCAGCTCAGGTCGTGCAGCGAGTTCTTGGCTAACACCTCCGCCTTGTAGATTACCCAACCCCGTCCCATCTTCTGTCCGTTGCCTGCCTTGTCCATCGCCACTTGAGCTCAGATAGTCACTTCGAGGACCGATATATGATCGTCTGACGCATCCCGGCTGATCGATGTGATAGCACAGGGTTTCGCTGCTGCCAGCAAGACGTACCCGTACACTCCGATCAAGACTACTGTGGCACACACATTGATGTTGTCTCGAACGAGGGCGTAGCGGCTGCATGCCGCTGGCCACGCGCGTAAAGCAGCAGGCTGCATGCCACTGGTCACATTCGCGCACCAGCGGGCTTCATGCGGCTGGCCACACACGCGAAGCGGCGTTAGCGTTGTGAAAAAGGCTTAAGTATACTTGAGGAATTATACGATATATTATGCTAATCCCGGCCTCACAAAGCGTGCGTCGCTCACAACTGGCCTCGCTGATATAGGAGCGAATGTTTATCTACCCAGCCAGGGAGCCTGTGGTGACAAAAACATGATAGTTTGGAACAGCGGAAGCATGGAGGTGTTTGCCCAGTAATTTTCTGTTTTTGAATGTCGCAATGCTACAGACATGCTCATATGTATTTAAACAGGCGCCTGTATACGTATTGATGGAGCGGGCACATCATCTTTTTCAGTTCGCCACTAACCTTTAGCTATCAACTCTGTTAACGTCCGTCAATTTAAAGATGCATGCATAGTCATTTCAAAATGGGATGTCCAGTTGCAACCAGATTTGATAAACAGATCAATATGTCGAGCTCTCCGCAAAAGTTCTTAGATAGTGTAACTTAGATAGTGTAGATAGTTCTTGTTTTTAGATAGTGTAACTTAGATGGTGTAGATAGTTCTTGTTCTCAGATAGTGTAACTTAGATAGTGTAGATAGTTCTTGTTCTTAGATAGTGCAGAGAGTTCTCGTTCTTAGATAGTGTAACCGGGCTTTGCCTTGGGGCGTTTAATTCGTAGAACTTTTTCTGTTTACTCTTGCTGAAGCTTGGGAAAGAATGACACCAGTGATCTGACATTTTTTTGTAACCGTGAGCAATGGCCAGGATACTCAGCGCTGAGAGAAGCCGAGCTCAGGTCGTGCTAGGTCAGGCCAAAGTACATCACACAGTTGGCAGCAATTTTGTGTGTTCGAGTTTGTTGAATGCGATGGTATCTCTTACAAGCCTTAGCTGACTTCTGTGCTCCATCGCAATTCATGTGGCCACAACAGCATATTTTTTCATGCCAGCTCACCCTTGGGCACGTCAAAGAGACTTAACAAATCGATCTCGTATGACAAAGTCTGTCCCCGAAATTCTTTTATTTTTGCATGCTGGTTTGGCCGCCGCACCTTGCCGATCGGGAACAGTTAGCGCATGTTCGTTGTTGGTCAAGTTAAGCCTCGGGTCACGTTTGGTCATGTTTAAACAATGTGACACAAACAAACACCGCAGACCTTTCATGCTGGAACAAGATGACTGGGATCCGCCACCAGCCGATGAATCGCACTGCTGTCAAAGGCTTACGCTGGGTCAATTAGCACTATCTGTGTGTTATATCAGATGTCATTAAAGGTCACGCCAATGACATGCACAATTTAGTGACTTCCCACCGCAGATATCACCCGTCAGACATTTCGTAAGCTGCTCACATTGTAGTTAAATTGACCCACAACGCAGATATCGTTTTCGTGTTAACGCAAAGTTACCCTTGACCTTGTGACCTAGCATGACGCTCGGGCACGCATACCTACCACAATGTACGGTGAGGGCTCACACACTTGAGACGGTAGCGAATCTATATGCTCATACAAAGGCATCTCCAGGGTGAGGCGGTCGTCGTAAGATACATGTTTCAGTTCATTTCAGACCGTATCTTAGTAATTGGTAACTTTTATGCTCCTTTCGCCGCAGTTTGTCCGGCACTTTAGGCAATGAAATAATCACACCCCTTATTTGGCGTGCTAGATGGGGTGTCCATACCAAGTAAACAGGCATATAAATCGGGGTTACTAAAATTGCCGAAAAAACGATTAGCTTTAACTTCACAGGTTCGGTCCTAACATCAATATTTTCAAGGTTATGGCAATGCTCACCATCTAAGCCGCTTAATATTTGCAAGTTCGTTGTTTTATGTCCCAGTTATAACAGCATGGGTACGACAAAAACTTTGCCAACACTTCCACTGCACGGATGTGTCATAATAATGTTGCTGTTCATACACGGCTTTTAAGACGGATCACGTTGTCCCTGAAAACTGCATAGAGCTGAGATTGATGGATGCATAGTGTGTAGAACGGGTGTAAAGCATGACAGATGTAAAGCGTGCCCTTTGTGTGTCAAGCGTGACAGACAGGTAAAATGGTGTTGGGTGAGGCCGTTCCAGTACAATGTTCTCCGCTGTTCAAAGGGAAAGGGCTGTACAGGGAGCGCTAAAGCCCTTATTCTGTATGCCGACTCTATCTAAGAATCCATCTGATAAAATATAGGGACAGAACTGTCCTTCCGCTGCCTCACTTGTAACCAGATGATGATCTAGTTGCGACATCTTTGGCTATTTCGACCCACATTTGCCATTTACAGTTGCATGTGAGCAAAGGCCAACACTTTGGTTGCAGCATTGCCAAAATATCTCATCGCGCATTTGATGGACATAGGCAATAGTCATCTTTTTGTACTTAACATAAGGACCGTGTCTGTGAGACACTTATATCATAATGATCTCCCTCTGGTGCGCTCCTAATCGAGTTTGGTGCACCTATACCTCAAGGGAAAGGTATGTTGCTCTGTAAAACCTCCGTGCGGTCGCTTTACTTAAGACACAAATGCCAGGGTCGACTTTAGACTCTAAGCTACGTTACGCGCGATGAGTGATTTTCGAGCCTACTCCCGCTGGTCACGCACTGGTTGCGATTTATCAGCCCCTCCCCTCTTTACGCCGTCTTATATATATATATATATATATATATATATATATATATATATATATATCACCCCAAAATGGCCAAGACAGCTTGACCTATAATTGTGCAACGGAAGGGGTGTACACTAAAACAACTGGCGTATTGCTTATCGTTACAGGGATTAAACGGTACCCGATTTTCAGGTTAAATAATGTTTTATCAATATTTCCGGCTTACCTGAGCGCAGCGTTGCCCAGACCAAAAACTCTCCTCGCACTACACTTTGGTTACACCCTTCAGAACCCACCTCCTGTCCATAAATGATGCGTAATATCATGTATGGACGACCCTTTATCAACACAGCATTGCAAACAAATGCAATACAATGCTACAAACTCTTGAGATTAGTACGATGCATGCATTAGTAAATACGCGTGTTTGCAAGTGCACGGCCAAAACATATTTTAACAACCGTTCGTCCTAACGAAACGATCGTGCTCTTTCCGTTCCAGGAATGCACGGCTTCCAACATCATCTCGTCGCCCTCAACCAGCCCCAGTGCCGAGCACGCGGACCGCCAGGACGCCTCCTCCCCCGCACCGAACCCTCGTGAGCCTCCCGCCGTCGCGCCGGCAGCGGCGCGCGCCGCGACGAAAGGCGACGCCCCGGCGGCCCCAGCCATCCACGCCAGCATGACCAAGAGGAGCGTCTACCACATGCCACTGAGTCTCTCACACCGCATCAACGCCTGGCGCCTATGGCCGGGCGGCAGCGGCAGCGACGCGGCGTCGTACCGCGACGCCGGTGCGCGCCTCGAGACGACCGCCGCGCTCGACGAGGCGCAGAAGCGGTCGCTGGCGTCGATGGCGCGACAGGGCGCCTTCCGGAGGTACGCGAGGTGGTGGCTGCCGACACTGGGCGGGCTGGCGTCTAGCACAGCCCCCGTGGATGGTGGGAGCGGCGACCTGGCTTCCGATGGGTCACTGGCGCCCGACAAGAGACACATCGGGTCGGTGGCGCGCACGGCTTCGTTCAGACCCTTCGGCCCCAAGCGCAGTCTTGCCTCTCTGGTGCGACAGGGCGGGCCGTTCGACGAAGGCCAGGAACAAAAGCGAGGCCTGTCATCCATTGCCAGACAGGGAGGATGGATTAAGGACGACCGGAAAGAAAGACGTGGTCTGTCATCTCTTGCCAGACAGGGGGGATGGTCTGAAGATGGACGGGAAGAAAAACGAGGCCTGTCATCCATCGCCAGGCAGGGAGGATTCTTTGGAGAGGACGACCGCGAGCAAAAGCGGGGTCTATCTTCCATCGCCAGGCAGGGAGGATTGTTCCGGGATGAGGGAGAAGACAAACGAGGATTGTCCTCCATCGCCAGACAGGGAGGACTGCTTGGGATGAGCCGTGGAGAAAAACGAGGTTTGTCCTCCATTGCCAGGCAAGGAGGATTATTCGACAACGCTCTAGACGAGAAGCGAGGCCTGTCCTCTCTCACCAGGCTGGGAGTGTATGGAGACAGCCACGACGAGGCGAAACGAGCCCTGTCCGCTATCGCCAGGCAGGGCATGTACCGCGGCAGATACCCGTCGAGAAAACGAGGTTTGTCGTCGCTCGTCAGACAGGGATCGTGGGTCGGCGAGAGGAGACAGCATAAACGGAGCCTGGCGTCAGTCATCCGACAAAGTAGCATCAGCGACGACCCGTCATGGGTGAAACGAGGTTTGGCGTCAGCTCTCAGCCATGGGTTTGTGGATAACGACATCTACGCGAAGCGAGGCTTGGCGTCAATCGCCAGGCAGCGAGGACTGAGCGACGGCGTCGACGACAAGCGAAGCCTGGCGTCCCTCGCCAGAGCAGAAGCACTCGGCGATCGCGGCGAGCGGAAGCGAAGCATCGGCTCGATCGCGCGTCAGGGCGGCTTCATCGACGGGATTGAAACTCGAGCGAGCTTCCGCCACTCGCCGGCAGAGGGTGACGACGGCGACGACGCCGAGGACGCCGAGGACGCCCGGGCGGCGCGCCTGGTTCGGCCCGGCTGGAGGGTGCCCTACGACGTTGGGCCAAGAGCGGACGCCGACGACGCGCCGCCCGAGGAGCGCCAAAAACGGTACGCGAGGAAGCCAACGCCACCGGCGACAGCCGCCGCCGGAGCAGCCGATCCTGGGCCCGACTCGCAGCTCCTGCCGCCGGCGGAGGACGCCTCCTTCCGGCTGGCAGGGGCCGCGACCTCCGAGACCCAGGAGGCGCACGGCCGTGGGAAGCGGAGCGTGGACGACGACCTGGAGTACCCGGCGCTGGGCCAGCCGCTCTGGGAGTACGGCGACGAGGCGCCCGAGCCTGTCGAGCTCTACCTGAACGGCGTCACCCCACCCGGTGAGTCGCGGCCCGGTCTGCCTGCCGATCCGTGGCTGGGTCGGCTCATCGGCCAGGGCAGTGAGGGATCGGCGGCCGCGCACCTCGGGGTCATCACACTCTCTCTGTCTTCTCGGCTCTCCTCGTGGTCCCTGTGGGCGGCGCACACTCCTAGAAGCTCATTTTCGATACGTCACCTGCTTAACAAATATCATTACGCGACACCTCGGACTATTATGGGATCATGCCTGCGCGTCATAAGGCCTTGATAAATGAAATTTGTGGATCGAAATGAGGCGGACGGAGTCCCTATCATCAACCACGAGTGTTGCCTCGCTACCTTTACAGCCGCGGGACAGTTGGCACGACCTCTTGCTGATTCCATACGAGACGTGCTGGAACAAACGTCTTACAGTTACTCACAGAGTACCTCAGGGTTCTTTGGTCAGACTGCTAACGATCAGTCTCCTCATGAAGACTTCGGAGACTTCATTCCAGCTTGTTAAAAAACTCCCCCAACCCAGAACATCTTTCGGATTTGAATCAGCGCATTGAAGAAGCCCTTCACGCACTTCAGGTGTGGTTAAAAATGAGCCTAATGACGAGGCACGCCAGTTAAGTTGTTTTTATAGCTGTTGGTGGTAAAAAACGCCAAAAATATCAGATCTAGCTCAAGCATTGGCATATTAATTCTATTTTCTACGCTTTTTGGTCAATGCATATCCTGTGCCACCATTGATCAGATGCTGACATGGAAGCGGTACATTGAGGAGGTTACGTAAGGATGCTTCGAAGCTATAAACCTCGCGGCCGGGTGCCGTCTCTCACATTTTGAATGACACACATTGCATCTTCTTACAGACGAGGTCAAATTCAAACGATCCGACGTCAAGTGCGAAATGCAGAACTTCATGTGGGGAGCAAAAGGTTCCATATGCAGATCGCGTTTCATCATGATCCGCCAAGGTTAACACACGCCCGGGTGGCCGGTTAAATACCCCTCGTTCGGGTGGGGTGGGGGTTAATTTACCACCCGGAGATCTCAGGAACTCAGAAGCCTAGAGACACCAAATTGACAGGGCATGTTAAACTGTACGTGAACTCACTTGTGTCAAGTTTCGGGGTTTGTAGATCATGAAAACCTCGAAGACTTTTTTAAGCTTCGGGCCCAAATAAGGTCAAACAAAATCAAGCTCCAGATTGATGTCCAAAGTGCCCCAGAACCTAGATACTTGCTCTAAGGAAAAGGTCATTGGTACTCATTCAAGGTTATTGACTTTGTTTGACCTTTTAGAGGTCACGATGACAAAAGTCATGCAACACTGCTTTGAGTTTTGCATTTGAATAGCGTCAAAGCTTACGCTAAGCAGTATGTTTCTAAAAACCACATGCTGATCTGAGTAATTTTGGGTCAATGATCCTGTTACCCATCCTGACCTTTAAATGTTTATAGAAGATGTATAATGCGGTTCCTGTTATCAATCAATTCAAAATCATTACCAGGTATTTGATGGCATTTGATTTCCAACGAATACCTTCCGTTACAGGCCACAAACTCCTTGGCCTGACGATATCTACTGATTTGCACTTTCATCGGCACGTTAATGACACCATCGCCAAAATCAGTAGAGCCCTTGGACCTCTCTACCCACTATTGGAACTTCTGTCTCGGCACATCTTCAAAGACATATATACGACTTACATTCTTCCTTTTTTATTATGTTGGCGTAGTATACGACGGAAGTTTGACAACCAGCGTCTCCCTTAGACTTGACAGATTAATGTAAAGAGCAGCAAGACTTGCCGGCCCGAGACGGGTATATGTGTAGACCGGAGCGGCGGGCGGCGCCTGGCCCTTGTCGGCTTACGGATCGGACGAGTGGGCGGTGGGTCGTGGGTTCCCTGGCGGCGATGACCATATCTTGTTATTGTTAGGAGAGGCGCTCAGATTTAGGCGTTCCGCTTATGCGCCAATCCACTCATCATATTATGTACTGCCTAATGTCCATAATCAGAAATAAACATCAAACATCAAACAAACCAGACAGTGTCCGATAAAGCAAGGTCTAGAGTAATAAGCAGATCGGTTTTCACCTAGCTCTGATCTTCATGCCTGACCTTAGGCTAATGAACTTTCTTTATTTAATTGTCGTCTTGCCTAATAACTTTCTCAGAGATTAGCCTCGGCGAACATTTCGTTGTATCACTTTGAACGTTGCCCCAGAATTTGTCTTCGCTTAATCCGTGGCCTGACTTTGACTCGTAGGTCAGTGACCTCACAAGGTGCATCTACATTTTTGATACCAAACGATCCGCTATTTGACTGTCTAAAGCCATTCACTATTTGGCGCGGCTACGCCGCGCTGTTCGGAAACCACTCCTGAAAAGTATTTGGGGGTCACATTGACCCCACCCGAGCGCGTATTAAAATAAGTCTCGGAAAAGTTGAAAAGAGCTGCCAGTCGGCGATGGTTCAATGCCGTTATAGCCAATATTCATTCAGATTTGAATGGATGGAAAAACGAAATGGTAGCGGTATACGTGGTCTGTAGCGAGCAGACAGCGTACGTTGCAGCGGCGCTCCACCACTCAATAGTAGTATGCGTGCCCGGCGCGTGGCCCGGCTTAACTGGCTCGGGGCCTCCCGGCGCCGGGTGGACTGACGCCACACCGCGTGCCACCAGTGAAGCGCCACCTGGGCTCCCTGGTGCGGGCCTACATGATGCCGGCCGGCTACCGCAACGGCTGGATGTCCCGCTTCGGCCGTGACGGTCCGCAGCAGCGGCCCAGCTCCAGACTCTGGTCACTCCGTGAGTATGAATCCCGCCTACCCGGGACCACGGAAAACTTCCGCGGGAGTTGTGGACGACTGTTGATAATGGCTGGGTTACCGTGTAGGCCTTTGACAAAAAAACGACTACCCGGCCCCGTGATATGCGTGCCCATTGCGCGTGAATGATGTTACTTCTGTACAGTTACCGCAGTAAAGTCGTATCTAGTGTAAGTGGGGACCATTGCAGGGCCCTGTCCCTGCTGGTATGGCGGTGACTGCACGTGCACATGAATGCTTACACAATTCCTTAATTGGAATATTACCACGTTTATTCAGTCTGCTGATTGGGCCGACATACCGGCTGAATAAATTAACGCTGCGACAGTGAGACCACATATGTTATTCCAGAAGCAGCCCTATGAAGCGATTCTAAAAAGATCCCAGAAGAGCGATTTCAGAATATACATCAGACCACATATCATGACCGGGCGACATAGTCTGCAAATAAATTTTGTTACCAATCTTAAAAAAATCTGACGCTCAAGCCCGCAGATACGTAGGCTTTCTCCCCACAAGCACAACAAAGACGCCTGGACTAGGAATTTAATATCATCACATGGTTACAACTGATGACGAAAAAGTCACACTTCCAAACAAAACTTTGCTGGGTCGATCAAAATTTGTAACACGCCTCCATCCCACACCAAGATACAGGTCTGAATCAACTCTGAATCGCGTTACTGTCACAAAACAGAAAGTTTTGTCTGCTTATCCCTTTGCATAAGTATTTTTACAGTCTTTTCTGGGTATCTTGGCATCTTATGAGTATCTTATCTTAACATCTTGACCTGATTAGATCAAAAGACCTCCACTGTCGAGCACATGGCAGTGCCGACCCGCAGAATTAATATTCCCTACGGCCCACTGTACCCGATAGCATCATAAGTATCACGTCAAGCGTTTGATAAAACTTACAAACTACATGCGACCTCATTTTGACTATTGCTATTTTACGATGGACATCCGACGATACCTGATGGAGAGAGATAAGAACGTTTAAATTCAATACGCTAAAATCTTAACCAGCATTTTGCCAGGGACATGAGCGTAAACGTGAAGAAAACAATTAGGATGGTCTAGCCTTAACACGCGCCTGGGTGGCCGGCTAGATACCCTTCGCTCTGGTGGGGGGGGAGGGGGTTGATATTTCGGGAACTAAGAAAACTAGAGACATCAAACTCACAGGGTGTGTTGACCTGTACGTGAACTCACTTAGGTCAACGTTTCAGCTGCTTAGGTCATGACCTTCGGGTCAAAAAGGTCCAACAAGGCCAAGTTCCAGGTTGGTCTCCAAAGTGCCCCAGAACATAGATAACCGTTTCTATGCAAAAGGTCACATACTCATTTAAGGTCAGTGATCTTGTTTGACCTTTTGAAGGTCAAGGTGGTACAAATAATACAATATTGCTTTGAGTTTTGTCTTTGACTAAGTGATATAGATTACGCTAGACAGCATGTTCCTAAAACAAAAGGTTGGCCTGGGTCATTTCAGGTCAATGATCTTTTCCGACCTCTAAGAGGTCTATGGATGATATATAATGCGGTTCTTGCTTTCAATATATTCGAAATGAGCACCAGAAACTATCCCATACAGCAAGCCCTAGAATAACAAAACAGATTGTCTTTTTACCTTGGTGTGACCTTCATACCTGACCCTAGGTCAATGTAATTTGCCTACGCAAGCATCTCAGAGAGGTATGGCTTCGTCTAACACTCCGTTGTTGGACCAGATTGAAGGATTCCCTAGAAATTGCCTCCGCTGAAACCATGGCCTGACTTTGACCTGCCATAGGTCAGCGACCTTACCAGGTACATATCAATTTTTGATGCCAAGCGATCTGCTTTTTAATTGTCTACAGCTACGCAAAATTGGCGCAGCTACGCCGCGCCGTTCGGAAACCATTCTGGAAAAACCTTCGGGGGGGTCAATTTGACTCCCCCACTCGAGCGCGTGTTAAGACAAGACGTATTATGCATAAGCTTGTTCCGTACAAGCAACTTAAAGACATTACCATCCTAATCTTAGGTTATATCTGAAAAAGCGCTCCCGTGATAAACCACAAGGCACGAGACAGTCGCTAAAAAATGCAAGATCACAATATCTTACTCCAGAACCTCCACCTACCAGCGGCTAGTGATTCTAAGACAAATGAAAACTGGAACCTCTTTCCCCTTATCATATCCCTGCGTTGAACACCACCAGCAGCCTGCGCTTAGGCACAATCAGAGGAGTCCGTGAGTTAATTTAAATATGCAAGTGAATACAAATACGAGGCCGTCCTGATAGACATTCACTTGGAGGCTACTTAGGTACCACAATGCATGCACAAGCGTGCTAAAAACGTCAGAGCCCAACACGCGTCAATTTCCCATACATTAAAATTCCAGTAACATCTGTGCTTGCGGCTACCATAAAGAAAACATGGCCCATTTCATACCTGCATTGCGCAGGTTTTTACACCTGTAAGACTTACCCTCTGCGGGCGATTTTCTGTTCACCTCAGGCCAGCCTCCCGTTCATCATTAGACAAGGGAAAATTAATTTTCTTGTGTGAACTCAAAACAACAACCTCTGTTGCGTCTCTAGACGCTTCTGACCTATACCACTTCCTTCTGGCATCCAGTAATCTTTCCTAGCCTATCATAACTCCGAAAATATGCACCTGCAACTTTAAAAAAAGAACCTCATTCCTTCAGTACTCGGCCGGAACGGTGCTAAGCTTTTACAAAGAAGCCTTCACATTTTTGTTGCAGTGTACGGCCCTTAGATTTAAAAGCCGCTTTCGGACTAATCTCAGAAATATGTCTGAATTGAAAACTGATAACAATTGTTTGTGCTATAAGCCAGCCCGGCTGGAGCGATTTTCAGTTCTCCACTACCCGACAAAAACGGTACAACCGACCGACCCCATCCATGGCCGTCGCTACTTCGGTCGCTTCCACGCCTGGGAACCGAACCTGGAACGACCGTACCGGCCACAGTGAACTGGGGCGCAGCCGCTAATGTATTACATCTCTCACCAGCTGAGGAAACGTTTACGCGCATGTTTACAGTTGACATCCCTTCTGTCCAGCAGTAGCTGCTCGCGCAGTCTGCAGCGGCTCATGCGCGCCATGGCCATACTTTCAGGAGAATAAGCGCTTGGCTGGGCCGGTAGCAGGAGAGGCGGCGCGTGAGGCGTGAGGCGGCGTTCCTGCGACAGCCGTCACCGGCACATGGACACCGAAGAAGAGCGACCCTCCGGAGGCGAGGCGCCGGGAACAGTGTCTGAAGTGTGTAGCGTATCTGAGTCGTGGCCCACAGGTCTCACCAACCGCGGGCGAATATGGGATCAAGACATGACGCGACGTCGGGCCGCGTGAACCCCGCGACGCAACTATATTACATGTTACTGTTTAAGGGCGCGGCGTGTTATGTCAGCTTTGCATGTGTACCGGACCGCATGTGATGAGGTGAGGCCAAGCTACCCGCCATACTAAACACATGTGTCAACATCGCTAATCCCCCCGCACCATAGACCGTCAGGGACTTTCCTGCTCCGTGAGTCTCCCGCGATCTCAGCTAGGCCATGACGCCACGGCGTCAACAGAATAGACTCAGCGAGGCGCGCTCGTGGCACGAGCCACCTCCGGCTGATTACGGACATGGCACGGCCATCCGGTCCGCGGCACATCTCCAGCGAGAACGACGGGCCCTGTCCGTTCATGGTCGATGTAGAAATAAATAAGTGTGCGGCAAAACGTCTCGAGTATGTATTCCATGTACAAGATGACTACATGCGGGTAAATGACAATTGCGGCGCCACCCAGCCGACGGGCGCACAAACTTACGACCAACATAAGACATCACCTGGCGACAACATAAATACATCTGAAAATAGGCAGCACCGGCGGAAGAACGCCGAAAACCGCAGCGGCGAGTGATCAGATCCATCGGCCTGAGCCGACCTGACCGGAGTGCCCTGACCTAAGGTCATCAGGTCGTCTTCAGGGCCGGACTGAGATCAGAGAAGTAGACGTGGCTGAGCGCGTCGTCGGCACTAATCCTCAGCGAAGGGTTACACACCAGCAGACGCTGCAACAGACCAACTAGGGTCAGATCACCCGCTGCCACAGGCGCACAGTTCGCATCGATGTAGTTCAGACAGAGTCTTGAAGAACTGTGGGTCGTCCGTTCCAATAATCATTTGCGCGGCAGGTTCCGCACCATCAGACGCTGCGAGCGGTCAGCCGATGTCAGGCCACGCCAGGCACTATCTGGCCAGCAGAGCTAATGTCAATGTAGACCAAACAGTACACTGCCTCGGGCGGGTCACACGGCCGGCACAAGCTGCAAGGGCTTGCCCCAGTTCGTCAGGAGCCGTCAGGGACTGCGCAGGTCACAAGCATGCAGGTCGTGTGGGACCTAAGCCTAAGGCGTGTTACACATCAGCGGGGGCAGCGACAGGTTAACGGATCTTGGGAAGGTCAGGACAAAATACATGGGTCCGCACGCCGGAAGGCACGTTACCTTCCACACGCGGACACATACACACATGCACATGCACACGCACACGCACACACACACACACACACACACACACACACACACACACACACACACACACACACACACACACACACACACACAACACACAACACACACACACACACACACACACACACACACACACACACACACACCACACACACACACACACACACACACACACACACACAACACACACACACACACACACACACACATATATATATATATATATATATATATATATATATATATACATATATGCACACACACTGGGTAGCATAGGTTCAAGAGGTGAAACATTCTGGCATCGCCGCCACTGCGATGGACCACATAAGTCAAGTCAGCAAAATGCTTAGTCAGACAAAAGGCCCACCAAACGTCTTTGTATCATTTCATATGGCTTACGAGCGGAAATCCTGATTACGAGCTACCAAAATCCCAACCGAGCAAAAAGTGTCATGTTTACGCTTTGGTCTCGCCGCAGCCCGATACATAATATACAAAATGCATTTATACATCACAAATTTCACTTTTGCTCCTTTTATAATTTTTACATATAAATATGAGTAATAACTGGGAAAAGGGAGATACCAAATGCATAAGGGAAACATGCCTATAACTTCCTGCGCATCAGCTATCTTCTCGCTTAGCCTACTCACTCACGACTGCAGTTCAGAACATGCACCCACCTGCCCAATCGAGGCATACAAAAAAACGGACGGACAGAAACATGCGCAGATGCGATATTCTATTGAAAAGACGGCAGTTCAGCTCTCAAAGCCACGCAAACTAAAATGTCCGGCGGCTCTGAGAACAGCTTCCGTGTCAGGTCACGTGACTGAAAGACTGGAAAGAACGTCCAAAGAACACCAAAACGAACACGTGAAGGCACGATGCCCAGCTTCACTGTCATTACACTTGCGCGCAATTAAGCGCAACAAGGACCGATATTTCGCTGGCAGGCTTAGTGCCAAACCTGATGCTAAAAATAAGGACATGACATGAGAAGGGAGGTGGGATGGTCAGACATGCCGAAGCACACCACATGTATACAGCAGAGCACACCACGCTCCGCCCTCCCCCCCCCCCCCCCCCAACAATGCTCGTCCGGGTGCCGATTTCACAACCTGGAAGCAAAACACAACGCTGCTTAAATTCGCACCGATCGTCAACGGACTTTACCAACCAATGCCACATGACACGAGCTGGGAGTGAAGCTCGTCATTCGCCCATGTGTGCGAACAAGCGGCCAACAGGTCGGCCGCATAGCTGCCCTTCCGGCTGCAGGCGCCGCCGCCTCTCACCTGCAGCAGGTCGCGGCCCTTGCTGTTCAGCTTGGGCACCACCTGCGACAGCGGCATGGTCGGCTGGTAGAGCGGGAACGGCTTGTACTCGGGCAGCGCACCGATGCCCGGCCACGTCTCCTCGGTCGGCGTGCCCAGCAGCTTGAAGATGCGCTTCAGCTGGTCGTCAACGTCGGCGCCCGGGAAGAGCGGCCGGCCGGCGTTGGCCAGCTCTGAGGGCGTGCGGGACGGACGGATAGCACACCAGTGGCGTCGGCACGCGGGCACGGGCGACACGTCCAGGCACGCGCCGTCGTCGCCCAATGGCTTCCCGAAAGTCACCCATGCTCCACTGTTGAATTGTGCCGGCTTTCAATGGGAATAATCGGAGCATTCATCATTTCACAAGCGACAGCCGGAGCCGCGCGTCCGATTCACGTAAATGGCGAGCTGCACTGACGGTCCTCAGCTTGGTCAAAACCCATCGTCGTAACCCCGACCATGCGACGCTAACTGCACAGGGACCAGTCAACAAGACACACACGGACTAAAGCGAGCGGTGCAGTTCGCATGTACTCGGTTACGGACGTCGATGGGAATTTTTGATGAAAGCGATTGCCGGATATCAGAGCTGTGCAGCGCACGGAGTAGCATCGGAGTGCACGGGCAATCAAAGATAACGATTGTCTGTGACTGAGGACAACCTAAACACACGTGCACAACAGAAGACAACCCCATCCGAACGGCGCCGCCGCCACCGCACCGCCGCCACGCGCTCGACTGGGGCCTCCCCGCGCTCAACGGGGGCTCCCCCCTCTCACCAGGGACGTCCCCGCGCTGAGCGTCACCGGCCAGCAGACCCCTGCCCTCGTCACCGTCCAAGGCGTCACACCCACCGGCGAAGATGCAGCCGGCCGACCACATGTCGATGCTGGTGGAGTAGAGCTTGGCGCCGAACAGCACGTCCGGCGGCCGGTACCACAGCGTCACCACCTCGGCCGAGTAGCACTTGACCGGGATGCCGAACGCCCGCGCCAGGCCGAAGTCGGCCAGCTTCAGCTCGCCATTCTGACGGCGGCCGACGGCAGTGAGACGGCTGTCGCCTGGACAGACGGCTGCTGCGCAGTGTGGTGCGGCGACCGACGGCAGTGAGACGGCTGTCGCCTGGACAGACGGCTGCTCCGCAGTGTGGCGCGGGCTTTTCAGTGAACTTAAAGCGAAGGAGCCTGCATGCAAAGTGGCTCAGGGGTAAATGTGTAGAAAAATGCCACATGCTCGTGATTCACGTCTTTCATCATGCAGCTTTCTCTTCAAACCAGGATAATTCTGCATGCAAGCATTGAAAGGCGTTTTATTTCGCTCGGCGAAGCTGTTTTTCGAGTGCTCATTGCCGTCCACTCAGACAAAATTAAATCGTACGCTTTTTGTGTATGTGGGGGGGGGGGGGGGGCATCCAATCGCCAACTAGGCCTGAAGCTGGCAAGAAACGTAATGACCTTGTGTTCAAACATTACACATGCTAGCTTTATCAAATGTATGTCGCGTAAAGACGAGAGAATCGCTTGTTCTTTTGCGTAATGACATGAAACTGTTCACCAACAGTAGCAGGGAAACGCTGCAGTTTATCAACCTAAGCAGATGGCAGCATAAATATAGAAATGGAATAACGCAGTTCAGTGCGAAATTCAAACTGTCAATGTGCTCTTCTGATGACAGCAACTGACATATCTTCTAAGAGAAAATAACAGACAACCTAAAAAGACGATGTCAAGGACAAGCATAAAGTAAGAAGGCGTCAAGGGATTCAACAAGAGCATCAGTATTCGCCCTAAATTCGATGAAGCAGTACGACAAGGAAACACAAAACAATCAGGACCGCGATCGCTGACTTTTCTTGAACAACGTGGGACACTGTCGGAAGCTTGAACCAAAGTCAACTGCACTAACCTCAAAAATGATGAGTAATGGAAGCCGCTTGACTTCCATGGTTACGTGAGCATTTGTTGGCACAATGACACCAGTAACTCCCGAACAAACACTGCTTTTGTTGGCACAATGGCAACAGTAATTCCCCAAGCATTGCCAGCATGCACGAACAGGACGGACGGCGGCTGCTGCTTAAGACCGGCCCAACCGGCACCGTACATTCCGGAAGGCAGGGGCCGCGCAAAGTGCGGTGGATCAGCCGAGGACAGCAACGTAGCGGGGCGCGAGCCCACTGCGACCGGGGTCAAGCGGTCGATGACCCCGCGCTTGGCGGCCGGGGGGAGGGGGGGGGGGAGGCAGCGGGGAAGGGCTGAGTACAAAGCGTCAGCACGAGAGAGCGAGCGACAGAACGCCACGCGGGCCCACTGGGTCAGACGACGGACACGCAGATGCGGCATCCGCCGCTCCGGACGCGTCGAGCCAGGCCGCGCAGTGCCTACAGCTGTGCTCCATTATAAAACATACTAGATGACGCAGAGCCCATCACTTCGGGGACTGGGTCTGAAGAGGACTGCACAAGATGAACAGCCTACATGACGCAGAGCCGATCACTTCGGGGACTGGGTCTGAAGAGGACTGGGCAAGATGAACAGCCTAGATGATGCAGAGCCGATCACTTCGGGGACTGGGTCTGAAGAGGACTGGACAAGATGAACAGCCTAGATGACGCAGAGCCGATCATTTCGGGGACTGGGTCCGAAGAGGACTGCACAAGATGAACAGCGGCCTGTGGTTCCATCTCCAATATGCTTTCCGCTCAGGCAGGTATAGCGAATCAACATGGTTCTTTTCGACGTGCATGTTTTCGTCTGATAGCGCAAAACGAAATCATAAGATACAGATACTGACATAACACGACCAACACATCTGACTTCGAAATTGGCTTTGAGGGCTGAAACATAGCATTAGTAAGCAAGAGATTTAGAGTATAATCAGGGGCAAACGGTCATCTGCAAACATTCAGAGGAATTCAGTGATTTCAGCTATAATTGCATAATGCAATCTCCTCTAGCGCCCTTAGCCGATCCGTGTAACTAGACAGTGCATTCCGTTCAGTCTCGCCATCAAAATTGGCCTCCTTCCAAATCAGCATCACGTCACAAAAACAGATGGTCGGCCGTTGATAACCAACCCAAGAAATCACCACCTCCATTTACAGAGCCAGCCGCTCCATACAGGACCAGCCTGCTTGGCCGACCGCCATCGAGGCCCGGTCGACCTCACGCCGGTCCTGATCGGCCCGCCACAGAACACAGCGGGAGCTGACCAGTCACGGGCCGGCCGCGCCTGCGGACGACGGCCGCATGGGCGTGCGCCGCCCACAGCCAGTCCAACTAGCGCGCCAATATCGCCGCCGCCGGGACCGACGCAATGTGGCCATCGATCACGACAAAGACCGCGGTGGCGCCACGGGACCGGCACGCGTTGTTGTTGTTTTCATGGCAGGCAGGCCGTCGGCCGCGCCGCCGGGGACGGGCATCGGGTCAGGGGCAGGCCATGGGGAGAAGGAGACCATGGGGCGGGACAGGCAGACCGGGGAGGAGCACTGGCGGACCGAGAAAAAGGAATGGCGGACCTGGGGGCGCGGGGAAGGGGGCGGCGGAACTACCGGACGGGGGGGGGGGACTCGAGAGCGGACCCGGGGGGGGGGGGGGCGCCGGGCGGCGGACCCAGGAAGAGCGAGGGGGGGGGGGCGAGGTCGGCGGACCAGAGGGCGAAGGTCCGGCGGACCCAGACGTGGCACCGTCGGACCGGGGAGGGGGGGGGGGGGGAGGCAGACCAAGGGGGCGAGACAGGCAGACCCGTGACGTAACGACCTGGGATAAGGCGTGGATGCACCGTGGGCCTGGGTGGGCAGAGGAAGGGGCCAGGTCAGCGCGGGCCATACGTCCGCTGGCGGTCCATGGGTCGCGGGCCATACGTCCGCTGGCGGTCCATGGGTCGCGTGACAACTTTGCCGCCATCCATCACGCAACACCAGAACGTCTCGAGACGCACAACGATCAAGTGCACAAAAGAACGAGAACGTAGAATTCTTTAGCCAGTGACATCACGGACGAAAGAAACATAAGGTTCAAACAGCCGATGCCCTTAACACGGCCAGCATCGACAGAGCACCTCGATTTCATTTCAGTACAGTATATGTCTTATGGGCACTCTTCCAAGGCTTACATTCAGGAATGGCGTCGTGACCCGATGAAGCCTGTTGTGCTCGTGTCGATAAATTTGAAGTGCTGCTGTCATGGGACCGAATGCTGCCATGCCATGCCATTGGGGTTTTACGACGCACTGAACTGCTGAGGTTATATGGTGTCGCCCGCCTGTCACCCTGGCAGGAAAGATGAACACCGCGGACGGCGCGGAAAATCGGGCCCGGAGCCAATGCTATCGCGTTTATCCTTACAAAAGGGGGCGTCGGGCTAAATCATCCCAGTGATTTAGCCATACAGTCATGACATGGAAGCATTCATACGCATTTCACATTCGAGGCAGCCAACCTTCGAAGCCACAAATTTCATAAGACGAACCAATCTCGTGGTCAAAACGTCGTCTTTCTTTACCAACGGGGCTCGAAGCTGAAAGCTGGTTGTGAGCCGCTGAGCGGCACGCACCCAATTAAGCTGCCGCTGCCCCGAATATCGTGCCAACAGTAGCCATCCCAATTTTCTGCGTTTTGACCCATAAATCACAGCAAGCAAAAATCGACGACATATTGTACATAATGACTGCATTCCGCGGGTTCGAGCTCTATTGCAGTTAACTAACCCGTGTGTTGCGCGGCATGCGGCCTCGTCTGTTGGGGAACGCGTGACATCTCAGCCAAGGTTACACAGGACGTACAGTTACGCACGGTTACGCCGGCGTACGCACCTTGTTGATGAGCAAGCGAGCGGCCGGTGGCTACCCGGCGTACGCACCTTGTTGACGAGCAAGCGAGCGGCCGGTGGCTACCCGGCGTACGCACCTTGTTGATGAGCAAGCGAGCGGCCGGTGGCTACCCGGCGTACACACCTTGTTGATGAGCAGGTTTTGCGGCTTGAGATCGCGGTGGAGCACCTTTTTGCTGTGACAGAAGGCCAGCCCGCGCAGCAGCTGGAACCTGAGGTCAGATGTTCCGGTCAGACAGCGCCGGGGAGGCAGGGGGGAGCGTTTCACGCAGTCTCCTGCATCTTCCTTCCGTCCGACGTCCACTGCGGACAATAACACAACGAGTCCCGCCGCCGAGTGTCTCACACAAAGCCGGGGCCACAAAGTGGGGACAAAATTAACTCGACTGAAATAATTAAACATCATGGCACTTGTTGAAACGCGAACACCATACGCAGAACAGAACGAAAAGGCAGTGTTGTCAACACTGCGCCAGCAACGCAAGCGACACTCTCCATACGTCCGCCCGTCCTCCCCCGTAGACGCCCATCCTAACACGATCCAGTTAAGACGATCACTATATACTGCAAGTCAGCGATTCCGACCGGATCCAATCATTGCGGCGCGGCGGTTCCACCGTCGTCACACGTCTCTGGCGACGACATTCAAGATCACGGGCAGCGGCGACCGCTCCCCCGCGTTCCCTGCCATGCATACCAACGACCGCGACCAGCCCGTACATGAACGACTTGACGACATTCGGGTCGATCTCGCCGTTCAGCGAGTCGAAGTATTTCTTCAGGTCCTGATCGCAGTGCTCGAACACGATCGTCAGCTTTTTGTCGCTGTGCAGCACATCATGCAGGCGCACGATGTTCTTGTGTTTGAGCTCCTTCAACAGGCAGATCTCGCGCAGGGCCGACGACGGCACGCCCTGCCGGCCGGCAGCCAGTGAGCGACGGATAAAGCCCTAAAGTCACGTGGACCTCTATTGAAGCCCATCTGATGTACTTCAATGGAAGGCAGGCAAACATGCAACATGTCCAATGATGATCACAAGCGGCCATGCGTTCACAGACGCAGTCCCATTGTAACGCAAGTGGGTTTTTCGGAGACTGCCCAAAGCAACATCAAACAATGCAAACAAACAATGATACAACATACAACAGTCCATAAATTTAGAAGGTTATACAGCAGAACCAAGACCTGGATAGAACTGACACCTCTTTCACTGATGTCATCCAGCTGTCTGACAATTATGTCACATGGTGAAGATTCCACCAACAAAATGACAGCTGTGTTCCCCCTGCATGTTAAATTTCATCTTCTCTTTCACACTGCATGAGTTACCTCATCGTCGTCATCGAGACGAACTCTCTTCAGGGCAACAATCTCATGAGTATCCCTGTTCTTTGCCTTAAAAACTGTCCCATATGTCCCTGAAAAGAAAAAAGGTCGGTGGATGAATCCTGGATTGCAGATTTGATATCATTCAGCAAATGTTGTGATAACATGCCATTTGGTTAAAGGGTTGATGGTGGTTAAAATGTCTAATTATGTGATAGCACATAATGCTCCAATGCCCTCACGTTAATCACTGCACATCTCGAAAACCTCATACACTGAGCTTGATCCCTCAAGTACCTGCCTTTCCTGCCAAGGTGAGAGGCAGGTGACAATGTACAGCCTCAACAGCTGAGTGCACCATAAGGTCCTAACAATGATGGCAAAAGGGTTGAGGGATAACACTTCCAGCTGGACTAGAATCTCTACTGGATGCTGAGGCCAGGGCATTTGCAACATATTGTACTTTGCAAGGACTTAGGTTCCAGGGCCACAAATACATACCATTAGATCACAGTTCCAAAAGAAGTTGTAAGAGAACTAATGTTGTTTGTTAACAAACATGGGCAGTTCTTACATGCAATCTGAAAAGCTCAAACTAGGAACAACAAACAAACCAGCACTCATTGATGGCCAGAAGTATCTACAACTATGTCCTATTCTACTCCATTAGACAAATAGTGTGCAATGCTGATGAGAATAAAGTTAGTCTCACCTTCTCCAATTTTGTCCAGTTTTTCATATTTCTGCATTTCTCTGTAAAGCATAAAACACATTATTGAAGAGTTCACACAATTGTGTAATACAGTGGACATAGTTGAATTAATTTGCTGTGGTTTGTATTGGTAATTTCAGGTTCAGAGCACTCACTGCACAAACATGCTGGATCTGTCTTGAACCCACACTGGAGCACATCACCAGGTTCAACAGACAGTTTTGGCTATGCTCTTTCCCACAAAAGAATAAAAAAGAATGTCATGTGTCACTCAGCGCCACAACATGGCGTTCCCTGGCCTGGGTTCCAGTTGACTTGATTGCCTGTTGATCCGTCAATAAACTGATACAATGCACCTCCAGCACTCTGCTTTAGGACTCTTGTAACTGGCACAAATGAATACCAAATCCAGCATCTTTTTCCAGGCTGTTAAGACAGCACAAGACAGCAAGGTGGCAAATTTAGCCTCTTTGGCTATCTGGTGAGTCAGTCTCCCATGATATCATGGCAGGTTATGATTGCAATCCCCACACCAGAATTGTGCAGGTTTCTTAAGTTCCTCCCTACAACCTTTCCATGATTACTTTCTCCATGGTGTCCACCTTACACTTACACTCCATAGTGCCCACCTTACAACTTCAGAACCACTCCCTCATGACAAACTCTGCAGATGATACTGCCAAAACCTTTGCCTTCCTTTTATCAGACATGGTCAGAGATCCATCCTACTGTGGCAGAATTTTGGTCTCACAACTGTTCAGAGTATGACCTGCCAGAGAAAAATGTCATGAAGATATAAGGAGCTTGGGATTGTGCCAATATTATTAAGCAATGTTGAATTGCTGAGGTTGCTGAGCAGGCTGCATCAAACTGAAATGTAGCTTGTGGTCTCAGAAGCAAGAACTTCTGCTACATGAATGCTGATCCCATGCTCACAACTTGTAACAAGCCAGGAGTCTGTGCATCTGCTCATGTGCAGCACATCCTTGGGCGTGATTACCAAGGCTACTGTTATTAGAAACATGCAACTTTGGAATTAGTTTTGTGGCATGTCACATCCCAGCCGTAAGCTAGTGAAGAGCCTGCCTACACAGCACAAATCCCTTTTTCAAGAATTGTTCAGATTCCAGTTGTCATTCGTTTTTATTCCACAAGGTGCCCATCCTCGATAATGAGAGTGAGATTGCAGATGTGCCGTGTTGCGCTTGCTCACAAAATATGCATCATACAAACCGCAACAGGACGCGTCCAATGACGTCCACGGACCTTAAACCCTCCAAAAAAATGGGCTAGGCCTTGAGCGTTGTGCCCTCCCTTCCCACAAAGTTACAGCATCAGCAAATCGTGTGTAATACAAACCTACACTGCAGGACTATCTAAAATTCACCATTCACAATAATAATTTAGCAGTTTAGCTAATACAAACCAATAAACACGGTCCACTTTCGCATGCAAACGCAAAATACAGTGAAATCTGAGCAACATGAGCAGCTTTCCTTACCGTTTTGACAAATTCAACGCAGAAAGGGCATTTACTACATGCGCATGGCCGGTACGCTATCGTTGTCCTTTTCTCGCTGGTGTTGGCAGTGTATGTGCGCGAGTCTTACGATTTCCGATTTTTGGAAAAATCACACTATTCAGTATTTCCTTCGTTGTTTGTAGAGCTGATTGCGTTTAGAGAGATTTAATTGATCAGCAGCAACAAAAGGTGAGTTTGGGATTAGCTTGCCCATATGCTGGAACTTTTGGGGGACACCCACCTACACGTGTCAGTAACATTACGTGCTGTATGGAAGGACAGTCTCTATTGTGCATTAGGTCTTAAGAGGAATGAATGTCTTATGGTCACTTATTGGTAATGGGGCTGACAAGCCATCAGGATGTTTCATCATGTGTTGGACGCATGGAAAATACAATGATTATCATATTTGGGGCACCATTGTTTTCACATTGTGCTGTCCTTTCTCATTCTTTGCACTTGATTATTAGGAGATAATTTTTGAAGTATTTTTGCACCCTATCCACATGTTTCCATGCTTAACACTGAGGACAGCAATTGAAGTGTATGGAACATTGATGTCATGCAAGTGGTGAAGAAGACTACAGCATGCCACAATATGACTGTGCATAAAAGCTCAGCCTTGTTCAGCCCAGTATAGGCATGTATGTCTGCTGACCTAGATAATTGAGAGGTGGATGGCATGACTGTTATATAGTTCACATTCTACACCATACAGGTCCAGTTTGCAGCTGACAAGCTTTTGGAGTGACTAAAACAGTGATGATACTCTGCTGGAGAAGTTCTAAATTTAGTTCTGTTGACATAAGTTCTTAATGTGGCATGGGTGCAAGTGACCCATGCAGTTGGAACACCCTTAAAACTCAATAACTAGCTAGCATGATATCTGCTAATTTCATCATGGGGCTCAAACTGTGTTGTAATAGCCCATCAAATTACCAAGCCATGTTTTACTTGTATTCCAGAGGTTCTCAACCTATCCCAGGCAAGCTCCATTGGTTGGTTTGCAAACCTGGGCAGATTTGACACTATTTCGTTGTGGCATAAGTGGGTCACAAGTTTGAATTTTGGGCAGTGTATCAAATATTTCAGGACTTTTGATGGCATCATAACATGTTCCATGATAAACAAATTGGTAAAAGTGTATAAAATGAACAAATCTGATCATAAATCATGTTAATGGGTAAGTCAGTTTAGCAAAAGCTGCCCCAAATGGCACAGTTTACCATCCTGTTTGGGGCATGATCCTGCCCATTACAAATATTCTGTGAGTATGCTTGCCATTGTTTGCAGGCCAAAGAATGGGGATAGAGGGATACCAGTGTCATGCGCCCTCCATATTTAATGTGTTTAGAGTTAACATGTTATTTAGATAGGTTTTGATGTTTAAACTAAGGGGTGCCAGTAGTGTAGTGGCTAAGGCATCTGCCTTGACCACTGCACGTCTGGGAAAGCAAAGGTACTGGGTTCAATTCCCCACAGTGCCCGCCCTTCCTGCCAGGGTGAGAGGCAGGCTATGCCATATAGCCTCACCAGCTGAGTGTGTCGTAAAGCTCCAGTGACATGTTTAAACTAGGACAGACAAGTAAAGATACATACATTAAAATATTGTGCTACATTTTGTATGCCTTGCAATAAGTTTTATGCTCATCTGTTAGTACAAGAAAACTTCATTGCAACTTTCTTAGTTATGCTGCCATTGCAGAATCCTGCATATGCCACTCTCTTTAAGAGTAAAGTGAGCACTTCAAGACTGAATATGTCCTGACATTTTTGGTCCCATCCCAACTGATCATTTTGCCCTGGGTTAGCTTGCCAAAGTCACTTCTTGTTTCATGGTAAGGGTTTTAACACATTGACTGTTTCCTTTCCAGTATCTTGCACTGACATTTCAATGTTTTGCACTGTTTTTGGGAGGGTATTTTTGCTTGACATTAACTTAACAGTATTATAATTCCTTACAACATGAGTCCTGCATGCTGAAATTAGTGATGACTGTGCAAACCTCTAAGTGCTTAGAATTATGGTAGACATGCACAAACATTTTTTTCTGTTCTGTCATAGCTATGAACAAGCTGTCCATTCTGATCTCAGATTTCTTGCAATGCATGATGCCAAATTGAGCAAGAAATAGAGCGCTCTCTTTCTGTTATGCTTATTTATTATCGCTTAGCCCCCCACACCATAGTTGATGATCATTGTCATATGATTGCAGAATTTCAGTTCACAACACACATAGCAGATTACTACATGTCAGGGCATTATATGTGGGGGAAACCACATCCAAGAGATGGGTAACAAGGGGTGTCATCAGATAAATGTCCTTCAGCTTTGAGAAGGCAAGGCTCGAGGCCGAGAGACTCAGGGCTTGAACCCTGTGTAAGATACCCCAAAAAAGCCAAGGAACCCTCCCCCAAACAAACGTGTGCTGGCGGGCATGCCCGGAGCTGTTCTTCGCCGTCGAGTGACGTGTCGCTCCTCTCTGGCAGTGGCACCACCATGCAGCTGTCGTGCCGCTTCTACTCGGAGAAGTTCCCCGAGATCGACGACGTGGTGATGGTGACGGTGCGCCAGATCGCCGAGATGGGCGCTTACGTCCGCCTGCTCGAGTACAACAACATCGAGGGCATGATCCTGCTGTCGGAGCTGTCGCGACGCCGCATCCGCTCCATCAACAAGCTGATCCGTGTCGGCAAGACCGAGCCCGTCGTCGTCATGCGGGTAGACAAAGACAAAGGTACGCAGCGGAAAGAGGTGAAGGTCCGAAAGTATGGCACGTGGTGGTTTGGTGGGTCAGGTTACTCAGGTTAAATGATATAATTTTGTGGGTTAGGTTAAATAATAAATTATGGTTAGGGACATATATGGTCGAGTAGAACATCAATAAACCATTGGGGCAAGGTATCATGCACAAGGAAAGTTGTCAGCCAGTATCAAGATCATTGCTGATGAAGAGGGCAGCCTGAAAGGAACCAGATCAATAGGCTATAAAATGAAAGAATATAGATACCAGATGCAGAGATATGGATCAATTATGGTGTCAGGCTCGGAACGAGTAATAGCTGAAATGTATATGTGCATACACATGCATGGTTAGAATATAAAGTACTTTAAAAGCATGGCTAGGTGCATAAAATGTAAATATGTGCATATACAATCAACACAATAAAGTATATTAATGGGTCTCCAATGAAATATGTTCCTCAGAAAATATTTGAGACAGGGATCTAAAGATAACTTGGCGGGGCATCTACCAAAATTAATTGGACGTTTTTTTTTCGCCGAGCTCCGAAACATTGCGAACAAAAAGTAAAACATTTGCCCAGATATGGTAGTTTGCGTACCAAAACGCCCACAAATTGGATATTGTATACAAAATGTACGAGTTGGTAACGTTTATCGCGACTTACTGTTTATTTATCTTCATCACAGGTCTTCCTGAGCCGCCAGAACTTGAAATTTCTAAGTTGGGAATGCTCCTGGTCGAAAATACTCCTGAAAATCTTTATATGTAGGGTGGAGTTTACGGAAGAATACAGGCCACCGAACAAGTAACACGCATGATTTTTCGTTGTGCGTTTGTTGCCGTCTTTTGCGTTTGTTTTTTCTTCTTCACTGGATATCAACATTTATGACATGTCCCCGGTTGCTGACCTGAGAAAAACAACCCGGCTAGTTACAGTCTGAAATGTGATGTCATTGACGAGAACACTAGCCCGAGTAATCTTCTGTTCCATACGGGAAAAATTATCGAAACTCACGTTGAGTGAGACGGGCAAAGTTTACCACCAGATTCAACATAACAGTGTGGCTGACAGCCAGAGTAGAATCGTAACACATGAACGGAGTGAAAACAGCAGCTTATTTATTGTTCATTTTGGTATGAGGCATTGCATGAAAGTTGGGATCAGGACAGATGGCTCATTCATGGTTTGAACAAAACAGCAAAATTTGCAATGCATGTACAAAGTAACTGAATGCTCGGAGTTTCACGCAGTAACCACCAGTTTCAGCACAAAGAGCCGGTGTTGCGAGGGATTATGATGCTGTGAAGCTAATTCTGGCAAAAATGCCCCCTCCCAAAAAAGCATTCATCATGTAACGATTGAAAGCCAGTGCAATGCATCACAAATGAGGGAGTTACTATGTTAAGACCCTTGTCATAATACAAGATGTGACTTCATTCAGATCACACAGGCAAAATGATAACTTATACTAAAATCATCCATTTGACTTCCTTAATCTAAACCCAAAAATCTAGCTCAATCATGGTAATGTAAGGACATATTAGGTCTCAAGATGCTCACTTTATCCTTAAAGGAATATGCAGGACACTGCAATGGGAGCATAACTGAGGGGTTAGCAACACAGTTTGTTCATATCACCAGAAGCACATCACATTTATTGCAGTGTATGATAGCACCCACCACATCTGTTTAATCTACTTATTTTCCCTTCTCTGCTTTAGTTTTAAACATCAAACGCTTTTCAAATATAGGTTAATATCTAGACAGATTTTATCAGGAGAGCACAGACCACTGGTCTCCCTTCCTGCCTCCGAGGTTACGAAAGTTCGCGCAAGGTAACGAACTGATACCCGAGCTTGAAACGAGCCTGCAGAGTAAACTATGGATGCATTAGCCACCAAACAACAGCTGTGCAGATTGATGCGATGTGGCTTGAAAGCCGCCTTCTCCTGGCCAACGCAATGCACATCCGCTCTACTTGTGTTGGAATACGAGCGAACACGGGGATCGTCGAATGGGTGGAACTCACTGTGCGTCGCTAGAGGACGGTCGCGCATAGGTCTGTTAAGAGGCCCGGCTGGTTATAATCCATGCTTTCCTTAACATTTTTAAACCAATCGCGCATCCCATAATCGATGCAGTAATAAATAAGATGACGAAAAAATCAACGGTTAGGTAAAGTGACATCTGAATCATGCTGACCGCGAATTAATTCGCGCCTAAAGGTATTATGATAAGTTATGTTACTGATGAGATAATGATGCGTCTGCCAGACACCTCACAGCAATTCGAAGAGAAAGTCTGGTAGAAAATTGTGAGAAAACCCACATTATCGAAAACAGCAACAATCCGACGGCCAAAAGGCCGTAAGCAATGCCCTGTTCACTGAGCAAGGCTGTAAGGAAGGTTAGTAAGTACAAAGCACTCCAAAATAAAATTTTGACCTCAGCGTGCGTTCTTTGATTCCTGCGCTCCTGACTGAAAACGTCGTACGCACGTCTCCAAAAAGCAATCAGGTTACCTTCTCTTCTTCAACGCTTGTGAGGCATTGGTCACTCACTCACTGCATCAGCTTGTGCTGCCCCAACAGCGCATAAGTATAGCATCGTATGCCACGACATTTTGATCCTGTGAGATGGTGCTCTTCCATTACGCGCTTTTATTTTCGGCTGTCCTTCTGTCCCCTTCGAACTTCTTTCTTCAAAACATTGAACCATGAGTTAGTGTGGCAGAGAGAACCTACTGTATTGATACTTGATGCAAGGTGTGCTAAAGAAGTTATAACTCAGGTATGGAGTGCTTTGTACTTGAACCAACTTCGCTGACAACCTTGCTTTGTATATAGGGCCTTGATTTCAACCTATTTCTTCTCCGGATTGTCGCATTTGCCAATAATCTGGATCGTCTCCAGATTTTCTGCCAGGCTCTTCGATTTGCTGTCGTGTGTCTGGCGGGTGCATCCGTATGCCGTTAGTAACATAACTTATCATATTGCTTTAAGGAACAGATTAATTGGCGGTCAGCGTGATTCAGGTGTCAGTTTACCTCACCATTGACTTCTTCGTCATCTTATTTATTACTGTATCACTTATGGCATGTGTGGTTCGTCTAAAAATGTCTAGGAAAGCATGGATTATGACTAGCCAAGATTCTTGAAAGATCACTGCCCAATCGTCCAGTAGCGAGGCACAGGGAGTTCCACCCTTTCGACGATCTACATGTTTGCACATGTTCCAACACAAGTGGAACGGGTGTTCATTGTATTGGCCACGAACATAACCTTTCGTAGTGTGTCGTAACAACTTGCGCGGCAGTTGGTTAGTAGGTAATGCATCTGTGGATTGTTCTGCAGGCTCTTGTTGTTTTTTACTAATAAGTTACCTACCATGTAGTATTGAACCCATTTGCTAATCTCACTTAGAATTAAGTATCGATCCGTTATTTTACGTAAACTCTCGTCACTTTGGAGATTTTATTTCTTTTTAGAGTTTATTTTTTTCTAGAGAGTTGATTTCTACGGCGGATACTATGAGAGACTGCAATGCTCATTGCAAAACATTTGGACATCGTTGACATCGCGAATGAGCTGTAGTGTTTTTTTTTTGGGTGGGGGCAAATAACTTCAAAACGCATATTATGGCAGCACGACTTCCGTAATCAAAACACGTGTAGCAACGTACCGTAACCGCAGCGTCTCACAAACGTCATTGCACATGCGATGATCCAATTCTGATGCAACTGTTTAGCTATGTTCTCGGTGCATCTGCTTATGCGACGCAATATAGTCATTTGTACGGGTGGTTATTTTCATTCAAGTTTGCATCCAATTATTTGTAGTTTCAGTAGGTCATGAAACGATTGTTAACGTTTTCGAACTGTTGCGAAATCGGTAGATGCAGAGTATGATGAATAATCGACCAATGTAGTTCTACTGCCCATGCGATCAAACTAAGATAGCGTCACAGTCTCTTCTTTGCCTTGGAGGTGCGCAATCTTATTCGCATGGACTTCTGCGCTGTGGGAACACATAGTTTGTAATACGCCTCTCCAAACCTCTCTACCCTTTAGCGCGCTAAGCCGTTCCAAACTGAAGGACGTGTGTGAAACGGATGAATGGAATGACGGGGGCAAGTCAAAGGCCTATTTCGCACCACTGTGCGCCAACAGCCGCAAGGCGTGAGGTTGGCTGTCTTTCACCCACACACAAGGATGGTGTCAAACGAGACGGACAACACCAACGAACGATGCCGTCCGCCTGTCATAGGGTACATCGACCTGTCGAAGCGACGTGTGTCGCCCGAGGGCATCGAGGAGTGCACCGAGAAGTACTCCAAGGCCAAGGCGGTGCAGTCCATCCTGCGGCATGTGGCCGAGCTGCTGGAGTATGAGACCGACGAACAATTCGAGGAACTCTATCGCAAGACGGCCTGGCACTTCGAGGAGAAGAGCAAGAAGCAGGGGTCTGCGTACGACGTGTTCAAACAGGCGGTCAAGTGAGTCTCGGCCGCGGAGCCGGTTACCGAGTTCCGCTCGCTGACCTGTGAATGGTCTGACTGGTGGTCACTAAGCAGCGCCTTCTCCGTTGCTTAGTGACCATGCTTTTTGGTCCAGAACGCGACTGGAGCTTTCCGTCTGAAGTGATGAACTTGTTGGGGTTGTAATGACAGAAAAAGTTGGAACATCGGAAAGAGGTGCCAAATGCATTGATAAGGTAACATCACATGATTGTTGACGTTGAGAAATACTGGAGGGATGACTGCGGGGCGTGCCCAAGGTTGCATTTCATCGTATTATCCGAATGCCACCGACGCCGGCCGATCGAGAGCGGTGTTGGCGTTTCTGGATATCGTGGCCGGCTTTTGAGGCACGCACGACTGTCGCCTGCATGCGCGAGAGGCTTCTCTCCTGACGTGGCCCGCCCCGGCAGCGAGCCCTCGCTTCTGGACGAGTGTGAGCTCGACCAGGCCACCAAGGACATGCTGCTGCTCAACATCCAGCGGAAGTTGACACTGGCCTCGGTCAAGATCCGAGCGGACATCGAGGTGGCCTGCTACGGGTAGGTGGTGCCGTCCAGGCTTGCCGGCGGCGGCGGCTGCCGAGGGAGCCTCGTCCCAGGGCTGTCAAATTCCTTACGCGAATCTTTATCAGGAGGTTCGTTTCGGTACCTAGAAGGTTGAAAGATAACTCCTAACGCGTGCGGTCAGTGCTGTGCAGCATGGTACTTGATGGTCTGTGTTGGCGCTGGTTTGTGCCCTTCGCCGTGGCTTGATTTGATCGATGGTCCCGTAAGTCCCGAGCCACAGTCTCTGTCTGCCGATGTGTCGCTGTAGTCTGGCTCGCGAGCCACAGTCTGTCTGCCGATGTGCCGCTGTAGTCTGGCCCGCGGGCCGCAGTCTGTCTGCCGATGTGCCGCCGTTGTCTGACTCGCGAGCCGCAGTCTGTCTGCCGATGTGCCGCCGTAGTCTGGCCCGCGAGCCGCAGTCTGTCTGCCGATGTGCCGTCGTAGTCTGGCTCGCGAGCCGCAGTCTGTCTGCCGATGTGCCGCCGTGGTCTGGGTCGCGAGCCACAGTCTGTCTGCCGATGTGCCGCCGTTGTCTGGCTCGCGAGCCACAGTCTGTCTGCCGATGTGCCGCCGTTGTCTGGCTCGCGAGCCACAGTCTGTCTGCCGATGTGCCGCCGTTGTCTGGCTCGCGAGCCACAGTCTGTCTGCTGATGTGCCGCCGCGCGCGTCCCGTCGCTGACTTCGTCTCGGAGCCGACCCCGAGCTGACCCCGAGCTGACCCTGAGCTGACCCTGAGCCGACCCCAAGCTGACCCTGACCTGACTCAGGACTGACCCCGAACTGACCCCTGCTGCTGCCTCAGCTATGAGGGAATCGACGCCGTCAAGGACGCGCTGCGGGCCGGCCTGGCCTGCTCCACAGACGACATGCCCATCAAGATCAACCTCATAGCCCCGCCACTGTACGGTGAGTGAGTGAGCTGACCCGCTGCGATCGAGCCGCTGAAGGACGTGGCCGAGGTGCGTTCAGCTGTGGTGGAGAATGGTCGGCCTGATAGCGACTGTCTGCAGTCGTCGTTTTCAAACTGACCGTTGAATTCTAGTCTTCCCGCACAGAAAGCAAGACACCGTTTTCTTAAAGTTAGTGAAGTGTTGATTTATGTAGTTAGGCGGTGTATGATGCTTGTTACGAACGTTTGAATGGTTTAAGGGTGACAAACGTTTGTTCAAGGATGTTCAATTTTTTGGGTAGTAGATGGACCGCAATCCCTACATGGTATCTGATTAGAAGTGCATTGATCCGTAACGTCACACAGCAGACATACAGCGTTGAAAATGTGCATTGTTGTGTCTACAGCAGAGCTTATTACGAGCGAGGCCGCACGGCAAGCGAATTACTTCAAATGCGAGAAAAACAGGTCCCTGACCGTTCCCAAGACCTGATATATTTGTAAATGGATCACGGAATCATGCAGTTTTCAATAACATGAGCTGTAATTGTTAAAAAATATCAATACAGGTACAAAATACTTGAATGTGCACTTGCATGTGCATGATGCAAGGAGTACCGCGCCTCTTTGAGCACGCGCTTAGTTTCCCCCGCCCTCTCCCTCCCCTCCCCCCAGACGCTCATTTGCTGCCGCTCAGGTTAATATGATCAACTCAATATGTATGCCGTTTCATTATTTTCTGGGTTCACTGTCGTTCGGTTGCAAAACTTTATGAGATCTAGGTGGGCTTTTAGTTCCTGCTGAGACCAGCACGTTGTGTTTTGTTTGCCGCAGTCATGACGACCAACACGCCAGAGAAGCAGGATGGCCTCAGAGTATTGGAAGCTGCCTGCGAAGCCATCAAGAACAGCATTAAAACGCAGGGCGGGAAGTTCGAGATCAAGATGGCGGTAAGTCCAAGCTGTTAGCTACGAAATTTTACGTCGTTATCCTTCATCTATGCCATTTCTAATTCTGTCGAGCCTGATTCTGTATCGATCTGCCGCCGCCCTTGATAAGACAGCGATTTTTAATGAAGCCATTTTTGCTCCGAAAGAAGGGCGCGTTTATGTGCTAAAGCTCTGCTTGTCCTATTATGATCAGCACGTCGGCTTGCGGGCTCCAGCATCCACTGGTTGGCCGGTTCCGACAGTCCATCACTATCGGCTCTCCGTGCAGCTGTCCTATCCAACCGCAAGGCGTGATGCGAGCCCCTTGCGACGCCTCTGGACTAGACCTTCCCGCAGTGTAGGATGGCTAGATCGTGCGAAAAGTGGCCTTTGATAGACATTGTTTGCACGCCCCTCAGCCATTGCCGTGGGTTATATGTCATGTGGATCACGCTACAGAATGCTACATTCCTACGTTGCGGTAAGTTTGTTTTAGCGTCTAGTGAAAACTGCCGTCTCCATGTAGCATTTGGAGAAGCCGAATCTACTTAAGACTGTGACCTGTGCGTCCCCACCGTCCGTGCTACTGCCGCCCGTCCTGCGCGCCCCCTGCCGTCCGTGCGGCCCCGGTAACACCGCTCCTGCGCACCCGGCAGCCCAAGATCGTGACGGACGTGGACGAGGCCGACCTGCAGAAGCAGATGGACACGGCCGAGGCGGAAACCCGCCAGGTGGCCGGCGACGACTCGGCCAGCGGCTCCGGCTCCGGCTCCGACGGCGAGGGAGACGGCGACGGCGACGCCGCGGCCGCCGAGTGACGGCCGGATGGCCGCGGCCGCCGTGCCGGGGCTGGCGGCGCCCCTCCGACGACAGGCGCAGAGCGGACCCCGCGCGCGCACCTGGGGCTGACCGCCGCCAAGACCGGGCCCGTCCGCCGACGACTGACGGCCGGCGGCGCGTGCGAGGTGCCCCGGCGGCAGTTGACTGACGTGGTGGCGATCTGAGGCGCGCGGTGGGTGGCTGGCACTCCGCCCGTCCGCGCGGCGGCGGCGGCCGGCGCTGCTGGGCCGGTCGCGCCGGCCCATCCGCCGGGGCTCTGGAATCATTGCCGCGCTTCGTCGCCCCGGACGCTTTTATATTCCTGCATTGCTGTTGACCATCGCTGTGGGTGTGGCGGCGCTCTGGCCGGACGTCGCGCTGGTGACAGAATAGACGTCGATCGTGATGCTGCTCTTTGGACGTGCTTTGATGGAGGCGTGAAGTTGGCGTGGCGTTCTCCGGCCTTGGCGCTGGAATGCATTGCCATGCTGCTTTTGTCTGGCCTCCCTGGGCAATCTACTTTACACTATGTTGGCGGCTGAGCTACTGGTACTATCTTTTCCAACGAGAAAGTAATTTCCTGTCACCAGAGTATCTTGAATGGCATCCTCCCGCATGAATGGAGGCTAGGCCCTTGTGCAGTGCTATTTGATGCGATGTCGAAACGATTCATTCGTAATCCCTGGCTTCGTTGGAGTGACGTGCTGTCTTTCTGACGGCATGTATCGCCAAAAGCGCTAACGCCGCGTCAAATTAAGAACAAATGGAAACTGCGTCAAATTACGACCAAATGGAAAACTATCTTAGACGTCGACTAAAACTTCGAAAGGCTTTCTTCCAAGGATGATTTAAAAGATGGTGGCAACATAAGTGTGTCAGACCTCAACTGTAATGACTAACAAGGTGTCAGAAGATATCGCCTTACATTGTCCGGCGTATTATAGTGCAGAACGACCAGGCACCGTCCAAGCGGGTCTCCGCTCTGGAGGTCAGGTGAAGGAACAAGTTGTCCAGCTGGTGTACCTGAGGTCGACGCAGTAGCTGCGTCGGTGCCAGGCTGGTAGCAAACTGGCTTGATATGCCTTAAATGGAGCATGCCGTCCTTCCATAGATGGCCGAAATGAATGGAATGCAATTTATTTAGCTTATTGAGGGCTTGCGAACACTTGCCGATTACAATTATTCTGGGGGGATTGGTGGGGGTCCAACCCGTTTGCGCGCCAGGGATGAATGGGGTGATCAGGGCGTCAGCGAGTGTGTGTGCTTGGGGTGACTGTGAGGGGGCGCCGAATGCATGGGAGACTGGATGGATTAGTTACTGACGAAGGGGGCGGGCGTTCCCAGGGAGGATATCCATCGGGCCCCTTACCAGTACAATTCAGCGGTCGCGAGGGAGCCGCAGTGGCAAGGGCGCACTATTTCGGCGCACTTTCGGCGCCCGTGCCGTGGGATTCAGGACGTTCTAATGCACTTAATGCACCTGGCTACGTTCTTGCCTCGTTCACATACCACCACCAGCCAAACCGGTGGAGGTGGGATGCCGTGGTTGAGGGCGTTCAACAACACACGGGAATACAGCGGTGCATGGTGCTTGACCGGCCCTGCCACCCCGTCCATTAACCCAGTCACTCGTTTCATCCGAGCCCTGTGGCTCACGTGTGTGTTGATGGGTGTATCGCGGTACGTGCTGCCGGGCCGTGCGCTGAACCTGATCCGGCTCGCGGGCTGGCCAATGGACTCCTTACATAAATGTCGTTCTCGGAAAGAGACGTGCAAGGAGGCGTTCCCAGCGACACCAGGTACGCGTCCTAGCGAGTGGTGGCAGCCGGCGACGTAGGCGAACAGTGACAGGCGGGCAACCGATAACGCCTCCCCAAACATACATCAGCACGGGCGGACCGGCAGGCTTGCGTACAAAAGTAAATAATCTTTGTCCCGCCCGCTTATGCGAAATCGTGCACCCAACTGGATAATTTGTGTTCTTGACTTATTCCGTTCAACTAATGTTGTTTACAGTTTTGACCAGCATTGTGTGCTCGTGGTTTCATCAGTGATTGCCTCTTGCTTGCTTTAGGTGACCCACGTTCAATTTCTAGTGCTAATCAGCGTCAACTAGTTCCGGACACTCGTAGAACACTTTGATTCCTGATGGCCTCCAAAGACAGCGATCTCCGTGGAATGGACTAGGCACGTTGGCGAGGACAACAAATATTTCCCAGTGAGTATATAGAACGTTGCGGCGTAAACGTCCGATTCGTTTGACATCATCATTGCCAATGCTTCGCTTACGCCGTAGTAGTCCAAAACATTGGGGCTTGGACACGGGCCCGATGGTTGGCCCGTGTCTATGTCGGTCCAGCCTGTCACATGGCTGCACCTTCATTATGGCAACGTTTTGTTTCATAGTGGTATCGCCGGAGGATCACACAGCAGAACACTGGCGGCATCACGGGTGCAGGGGAGCATCGGGGCGTTGCTTCATGCCTTTACCTGCCGTTTTGTTTTAGTGCCACTGTATATCCTTGTTACTGCTATTGGAATCACAATTTCTCGTTCGCTGCAGATAAATAAAGTAAAAAAACCTATCTGGCAGGTACTATGCATTTAACAACGCATTATTGTATTGCAATGCGTCCGAATCTGAGAGCATACGCTGCCAGCCTGTCGCACTGTGAAGAAAATAATCTACCAAACCAGGTTCGTGGTACTTCACACCTCGGATAACAGAAGCCTTTTCCTGAGGTGCGCCAAGAAAACCCCACAAGAAGTCAGCACTCCTCTGGCATTAAGACGATGTATAAACCGGAACATTTTATTAGGTTACATCTCCGCGCCCGCTACAGAACCCGAGCACGCCCGACGCCGTCACTGCCAGGCTCTCACACGCCGGGCCACACGTTAGGTCGTGCCACGCGCAGTAAAACTTCGCATACGTTTGCAAAGGCCCCGCTCACAGATCAACACCAGAAGTTCGTGATCCTGCACATCGTTGATGTCACCACACGCACACACACCAGAGAGACGAGCGTCAACATAATTCAGTAAAACCGGTGGTGGTGCATGCAAAATGTCGTGCATAGTACAGATGGTCCCAACGCATGCAGAGAGGACGCAGTTGGACGCAAATCGGAGAAGACAAAAGGACAAAACAAATAAAACGTGCCTGTATTATAGGATTTCCCAACATACGGTCGCACCATTTATTAATATTCCCCGCTGTACCAGTCAGCTGACGCCAGCATACCCCCTAGCTACCACACGCCTTCCCAAATAAGACGGAACGGCGCCCGGGGCCAGACCACACCGCGCCCGGTCACGGCTTCGTTCTCGGGCCGCTTCTCACCGCTCGCCGCCGCGAGGAGATTATCGGGCCGCGGCTGGCTCGCGACCCCGGAGCTCGGGGCACGGCACCCTCCCACGCGGCGGTCACGCGCACCAGCCGCGGGGACGGCCGGGTCACGGTCCGGTGAGCCGCCCCCGCACCACTCCGGCACCAGCTGACGCCGGTCAGAGCCGAGCCGGGACTGCTGCAGCCGCTGGGGAGCACGCCACGACACCTCAGGGGAGAGCCCCAGCCGTGCCTTGAGATGAGCTAAGTCAGGCCCAGGCCACGCTGGAGCTGAAGCCACTGGCGGGCAAGCCACCACACCCCAGAGCAGAGCCCCAGCCCCGCTCCGACTGGCGGTCTCGGCACTGGGGGAGTTAGGACCGGTGAGCTGACGTACAGCTTGTGCAGCCGGAGCAGCGCTCGCTAGTCAAAACAAGCACGTGGGCACCAGAGACAAGCCAAATCGCCGCGGCGTCCGTACCGTCCGGAGATGAGCTATACTTCTACCGCAAGAGGGTCGCGGCGACGCATAAGATAAGCCGAATCAACGCTCCATAAATCTGCTAGAGGGAGGCCGTAAACGAGCTGGAAAGCCGCCGGGCAGGCTGAGCCGCGGTGCCGCCGGCCGCCGGCCACGTGGTCCGGTGCCCGGCGGACGGCAGGAGTCACGTGGTCCGGCGCCGGGCGGACGGCGAGAGTCGTCTGACCCGGCGGTCGACAGAAGGCCGGCGCCCTGGGGCTACGCTCGGCCGAGCTTGGCGCGCGGCCGGCGCGGGCAGAGGCGCGGGTTCTGCACAAACTCGCCGCCGTACACCAGGATGACGGCCGTCGTGCCGTACGCCATCAGTCCCCAGAACAGCATGTACAGCAGGGTCTCGGCCGAGTACGCTGCAACAGACGGAGAGAGGTCGGGTCAGATAAGACGCGGGTCCTCGCAGACGGACGCCGTATGGTGTAGCTGCTCACACCGGCTGAATTATAGGCGGCGCGTAAAGGCAACAGGTCCAAGCGCACATCGCCATAATCACGACACCACGCGTACCCTGAGCGCAGTTCCAACCGGAAACATTTCCGAATCCAACCGAATCTATCTTCATTGATTTGTCAATTAGCAAGCAGCCGGAAAGGAAAGTCCCGGCCGTTTGGGACGAGCCAGCGCCACGCTCAATGAAAATGAGCGATCGCACGCTCTCCCGCTAATCGTAACTACGCCAAGTTATCGGGAGCAATACGTGCCGATAATAGGGGGCCTGTTTCCAAACGGGACACAGCATGCAACCTAAACGCTACAACTAAGTGGCCAAACGACGCCCAGCTCGCTCCAGGTGTAGCCCGGGATTGCAGGCGGGGTCAAAGTAAGTCTTCACATGAACAGGTTGTGACACACCCACCCGACCATTACGGCAGTTCAAGGTCGCTGCTCGGCCGTTGCTTCACGGCGTCGCCGGCCCCCTGCATGAGCGTGGCTCACTGGCAGGTTTGCGCAGAGTCATTACCTCCCTCCCACTCCCACAAAACACCATGCTGCAGCTCATCGGCGACTGAGACGGGCTCGCGGCCAAGGCGACAGGCAACTGCGCGACGGTGGTGGCGGAGTCAGACGGGCGCACTCACTCCGCCAGCTAGTGATGACAACATTCACTTCAAAATGTGAGACCGGTTCGATGCACGAGTCCGCCAGCTAATGATGACAGCATTCACTTCAAAACGTGAGACAGGTTTGATGCACGAGTCTGACATAAAAATATCTGGGCAGAAACATCGCATCGCAGAGAGGGTGGAAGTGTGTGTGGGGGACGGGGATGTTTATCAGCTGGGGCATCGTGTGTCATGTTTCAGGTGGGCACCCCTACACCAGTCGGATTCATATACAAGCAAGTGCTAATTATATGAATGGTCACCCAACTTAACTCTTGCGTTTACCGTATTACGCCACCAACCTATGACGCTCGGAGCCAACAATGTAATCCAGAACACCCGTTTATAGGCAGCTTGGGTTACTCATGTCGAATACTCCGCAATTGAAGTGTGGGATAAACATGGCCTGTGCATTTCTATTTAACCAAGTTCATGCATACCCACGCACACACAGTAAATGACAATGCTTAAAGCCCGTCTAAATGGAGTAAGCCCCCTTTGGTCCGGGCTCACGCAAGCCCGGTGATGCGCCGACCAATCTGCATATACAATTGACTTCGCAATTAACCACCACCAGACGATGCTATCCTGTTGATTTATTCTTATGTCGGCTTATGAGCTGTGTTGGTTTATGATAATTTAAGTATACTGCCGTGATCGTCACAATAGGAAAACGAAGCGTAATCTCAAGGCAGCGGCCGACTTTATCGAAAACATTCGTATTTTTCCCTCCCGCCTTTGCAAAGGCTCGTGGTTGTCAGTCATCAACCAAGCGGGACAATGACCCAAATGGCGACATGTTGTAAGCACTGCATTGCAGCAGCACGGCCGCGAGCAACAGCTCCCCATTTCGCTGTACAGCTACATACAGCGCAGTGTGCCAGCGTCTGCCGAAATCAGGCGGCAAATGGTGTATCGGGGCCATGCCAAAGATCACCGCCGCCCAGCTACAAGGGCCCGCCGAGCAGCACACCTGATCCCAAGATCGGGGCGATACCACAGATCACCGCCGCCCGGCTACAAGGGCCCACTGAGCAGCACACCTGATCCCATTATCCGGGCCATATCAAAGATCACCGCCGCCCTGCTACAAGGGCCCGCTGAGCAGTACACCTGATCCCATTATCCGGGCCATACCACAGATCACCGACGCCCTGCTACAAGGGCCCGCTGAGCAACACACTTGATCCCATTATCCGGGCCATACCACAGATCACCGCCGCCCTGCTACAAGGGCCCGCTGAGCAGCACACCTGATTCCTGGCCGGCCCCACCTAGGCCGTTCCTCTACTGATTTCCGTTCCTCTTTTGATGGCCTCTGCGATGTTTGTTTTAATACTTGTGTTTTGATTGCTTGCCTTTTGGCAGATTTCGGTTTATAGGAGTACAGAGTATATCACCTGATATCCAATTCCGCCGTGGAGCGGTCTGCACCTCGTCACATCACGGTGCTTTACATCAGTGCGGCAAGCAAGAGTTCAAATGCCTGCCTACCACGGACGCCTCAAGCCAGTTCACACACCCAAGCGTTCCAGTGAGTAGTATCCCAACACCACCATATTATGTGGAAGGTCAGTTGTCCTGATCCATCTTCCCCTTCCAGTCCCTCCCTGGGGTTCCCGTGTCCACCTAAGGTGATCCCCGTCACCCGGTCTGTCAGGTGACCCTCGAGCCCCCATCCGACTCCGGCGGAGGTCCGTCCGCTCGTCCGGCGTGCTCACGCCTCGCGTGCCCGGCCGACAGCGCTACTGATGACCAGCCGGTGCGGGGGCGGGGTCCACCGCCGGAGGCCGGGCACGCACGTCCCAGGCCGGCCCGACGCCGCTCCGTCGCCGCGGCGCTGGCGCAACAGATCGTATCACCGACCCCAGGTCACGCCTCAGCACAGCCGCGCCAGCTGCGCCACGGGAGGACCACCGGCGGCGAGGGGGCTGGAGGTGGGGGTGAAGGGGGGGGGGGGGGGGCGCCGCCGGCAGTGGGCCGGCCGGTGTAGCGGAGTGGGTCACTCGCAGTCGTTTGGCGATCAGCGTCTTTGCTGGACCGTTCTTTTTGCTGCACAGTCTCACGTTATCTGGGATGCGGGAAATCCGAGACTCGTGCCAAGTACAATGTCGAGTCGACGACCGTTCAATCAGTCCAATCCCAGCACCGCTTGCAGCCACCTCTGACGTCACGGTCTGCAAGCGGGCAGAGTGGGTGGGGGCAGGACCGGTGACCCTGCCGCGCCTACTGGGTCGGCGGGGGTCAGCGGCGCCTGAGAGTCGACCCCGTCCGGTCCCCAGAGGGTGCCCCGGCCCCGAGCGGCCGGTGCCCACGCCCGTGACCCGAGGCGGCGCCGGGCGGTGCTTCACACGCGTAGGGGGACGGCAGCAGGGGCGGTGGCGGCGTTTCGCGCGGCGATCGGGCCGGGGGCGCAGCGGGAGCCGGTACGAGCGGTGTGCAACGGCCGCACCGTCGCCCGACCATCGCTGCTCCCTGCTCAGACGACGCTCACGGTTTACACCGAAACGTCCGGCTGGTGATGATGTTCAGAGGCGACAGTCACCAGCCGTCGGCACGTTCCGTCCGGCACGGACATCACAGGGAGCAGACGCCACTCAGACTTCAAAGCTGGCCGTCAAGGCCGCGTGATATCGTTAGCATGGCAGCCCGGTGGAGTGCAACATCTCGGTCCAGGAAGTGCCCTGCCCTTTTCAGCTGTGCAGGGGCGACGCAGTCCGCAGAGCAGATTCCTTGTGAGAATCGGGGTGGAAATATGCTCATCGCGGTCTTCAACAACCCCAACTACGACTTGACCGATGGATCTGCCCGAGACACGGCCTCAGTGATTATACACCACGCGTCGGCCAATGAGCCATACAACTGTCCGAAGCCGATGTACACTGCTAGAGGGCATGGGCCCACCACAAATTCACTTGGCTGAAGAATTTAGGACCGTTTCATTCGGTGTTAACATCCGCCATATAGGCTCGAGCACGATACAACGGCGTCAGCCGTGGTATTTTGGCACCATCCGGCTGTGTTGTATTATGGCACTAATTCATTCAAATATGTGGTGGTGACCAGACGAAACAGGAGCTACCGCACGAGCGGAGCCACTAACCACCACGCGGCAACCAGCGACACGAACTATAGCACGCGACCAGCCCCTAGTCACGGAGTAATCCTCTGACAGCGAGGCCGACAAAGAATGCCACTCCCTGTCATGGTCCTGGCCGTTGGGACTAAGCTTTCAATGATGAGTCGGACGACAGTTCGCCGGGAACAAAAGCAATTTGCGAGATGAAAGGCGAAGGATCAGCGCGCCACTGAAGTCTCGTCCGCTGACTGTGATGCCAGCCTGCCACCCATATCACGAACTTCCGAGAAGCCACCCCCTGGCGTTCGCTCTGTACTCTTTCAGTTTCAGACGACGCTTGTACCTCCTCCAACTTTGTACTTTCATTTTGAGTGCAGAGTTCATATCCTGACAGTTCACGACCTTCAGTATTTCAGGGTGCACTGGTTTGAAGGCGTTATCACACGCGCATACAGACACAGACACACTTGGTCGCATAATCAATGCTCAACCTTTCAAAGTGCGCATATCATCATTCACGAACATATAAGGGTGCGCAATTTTGCGATCCCACTTTTTAAGGATGGGTAACATTACTTTTAACACTAAGTTTAACTCGGGTATTGTACGGAAGGCTATGAAAAGAATATGAGCGCTATTCTAACCTTACTACCGCCATACCTCACACCTTTCCTACTTCTGAGAGTCGCACGCGGTGCACGCCCCCCAGCCTCGGCGCGTCGGACGTCAGCGGTGAAACGGAGCGCGTCAAACCCCCGGTGACGAGCACAAGCCCTGACGTTAGTCATCCCAACACACAGTCGATTCCCTGCCATCTTCTGGTCGGCCTGCGATCGCACCCGTCCCCGCCGTGCACGCCCGAGAGACACGCCCCCCTCTCCCACCCTGCCCACGACCTCTGCCCGCCATTCGGCGTTAATTGGCGACGGCGCGCGGCTCGCGGCACCGCTCGGCCGGCCCCATTCCAGCGGGCCCGGGGGGCAGGCGACCCCGCCCGGTGCAGCGGCCCGCCGCCGCCGTATAAAGGCCGGCCGGGCCCGGCGCAGGGCACCAGTCTCCCCACTGCATCCCGCTACACAGGCGACATGAAGGTGAGTGGCAGCAGGCGCAGCGGGGAGGGGTGCGAGGACGGCGCCCAGTCAGCCGCCGAGCAGACAGGCGCCAGCGCCACATGGAGGACGGTTCGACACAGCAATCGTGCATAGGGTCTGGCTGAGCAGTGCTTGGACCACATAAAACAAACGCTAAGGGAAAAATCTAGCGGAGGGTTTTAGAGTAATCTCTATATCTTCTAGATAATCCAGAGAACGGTGCACCATCAATCTACTGAGGGCTGGTAGCACGGTGTCGAAGGCAATTCATGTCCGCCTCCTCTTCACTCGCTACCTTTATCTCATTTCAGGCCTTCGTTCTCGTCGCTGTCTTGTCGGTGGCTGCGGCCCAGAACTACGGACAGGCACCCGCACCCCGCTATAGTCCGGCCCCGGCGCCACGTTACTCTCCAGCCCCGGCGCCACGTTACTCTCCTGCTCCGGCGCCGCGCTACAACCCCGCTCCGTCGTACGCGCGGGCGCCTTCCTACGCCCCGTCGTACCAGGAGCCGCAGTACTACGCCCAGCCGTACCAGTTTGAGTACGCTGTCAACGACCAGTACAGCGGCACAGTGTTCTCCCAGAACGAGAACAGCGACACCAAGGTCGTGCAGGGGTACTACTCGGTCAACCTGCCCGACGGCCGCGTCCAGCACGTCTCTTACACGGCTGATAACGAGGGCTACGGCGGCTACAACGCCCAGGTCACCTACGACGGGGAGGCCCAGTACCCCGAGCCGGCCAGGTACGCCCCGGCCCGCTCCTACGCTCCTGCCGCTCCATCTTACAAGGCTGCTCCCTCTTACCAGCCGGTTCGCTCCTACCAGCCTGCCCCCTCTTACACGCCTGCTCGTTCCTATAAGCCTGCTCCTTCTTACCGACCTGCTGCTCCCTCTTACCAGCCGGTTCAATCTTATCAGCCTGCTCCCTCTTACACACCTGCTCGTTCCTATAAGCCTGCCCCTTCTTACCGGCCCGCTGCTGTCTCTTACAAACCCGCCGAATCTTACGGAGCTCCTTCCCAATCGTATTAGGAAGAGTACACAACTGAGTTAAGTGTGCGTGTTTGTGTTCATATCTTATTGTTTGCTCGTTTAAGTGTGTGTTCTATGTCTCTGGTGCAATTAATTGCATGTAATAAACTGTTACGTATTAAAACAAGTTATTCTATGAAGCAAACCAAGCAACTTGAATCGGCCAACAAACGAATCATCGTATTCAGGTCGCGCATCGCAGGAACGATGCAAGCGACTGAAGAAACACTCCCATAACACTCGTGTTGCATGGTCCTGAATCAGCGACGCACTGCGACCGACATGCTGTATGACGTTGTGTAAAACCCTGAATACCGGATTACTGTGGCCAGGTACAAATAACCAGCATATTATTGAAAGAGGCATGTAGCTGACTAGTCGGGCGAGGCTTTACACCCTGTGCCAAAACATCGTCTAATGCACAAAGCACACAAGTAATAACATTTCAAACGTTGATGGATCCGTTAAGATTTGAAAAGCTTTCCTTGGGAATAACAATTATTTGCCAGACTGAGATGAAAATACGGACACTTTCCGGCAGAACATACCCATCCATACGACGCAGCAACCATTCGGAAAGATGCATTCTAAGACACGATCTGTAGCACAAAATGACCATCGCAGAAATATTACACTCCCACGGCGCAGCACAGAGCAAGTAATACCAGGTTGTCCAAAATCGCATCCAACGTATCAACGAAAATGCCTATATGTACGGTAAAATTTGCCCAGTATTACGGAAATAATGCGTTCAACATAAAGACGGCATATGCCAATAAGCGGCATAGGTACCGTTACATGCTACCCATGACCGACAGCTGTATAACCAACATGCTCAAACTAACAATTAGTACCATATGACGTAAAACGTGCTTGGTATGAGAAAGGAAGGTATCCAGCTCCTGGTATTTCGGCAGTTTTATTTCTTGGTCCCCAAAACTGACATGCTGAGTTAACAGCCTTCAATACAGCAAATGGTATTAACAGCGGTGTACTCGTCCCTTGAGGATAAGCAAAGCTCAACATACCAAATACCTGCAATATAATCGTTGTTTGACGACATAATATCATTTACCCAGTGCCTGCTGGTATAGTAAAGGTGGTTCACGCAGTATTAAAACCTTCAACTCATAATACATAAAACGCACACATTGCCCGCCTGCGGCACGCCATTTTCTTGTCTTGTGCACATAACGACGCACTGCGTGGTTCGATTTCTCGGCCACTAAGATACTTGTGCACTTTCTGCAGACGACAAAAATGTGCTAATATAGCCGTAGGCCAACATAAACATTTGGATCCGCTTTCTGCGACATGAGGCACACTGCAGTAGTGATCATGGGGAGAAGAGGACCATGCGAGTGAACGGCGTGCAGAGGTGGATCGCGGACATGGAGGTCGTGGAGAGATGGACCGCGAGCATAAAGATCGCAGGCGGACCTAGCGCGTGGAGATCGTGGGTGTTAAATCATGCGCGTGTCACATGGGTAAGTTTTAGTCTTAATAAGTGTACTGGATACGAGAAAAAAGAAACGCGACGAGAGCACGATAAGAACCATGTAACAACACCACCGACAAACAGGTAGTCTTTAGTAACAGCAACTGGACGCCAGCAGGGTTACACAGACACTGCATGTCGTATGTGCTCATTAAAGGATACGTGTTTTTCTCAATGCTGAGCTTATCTCTTGCACGACATCATATAGACACGTCCACACCTGCATTAAAGGAGGTCTGTGAGCTTGGGGTGGGGTAGTTTATGCCACATCCTTCCATGATAAAAATTACTGGAATATTTGCAAAATTTGTGGGAATAGGTGAGAAACAAAAACTACGAGGATCAGTCACAATACATGTTTTCAAAACAAACCTATAGGGTAACAATTAAAGGCACTTACAGGGTGCCATCTGTGACGCGTCCCGAGAAGTCTACAGATCACCAGGCCCCCATTGTACCTGATCTGTTTAGTACACCATTAACTCACATGCGAAACATGAGTGTCATCTATTAGAGTGTGCTACATTCATTGAACATTTGAAAACATACTAAGCCATCATGACATCAACGATACCTATGACTCCTCAGATTTAATATTTTGCATCAAACACTTCATCTCTACGGAGCTCTCGCATACGAAATGCATGCCCACCTTTGCACGCAAATACACAAGACAATCTCACGATGGGAATGTGAGGGAGATTAGCAGCACGAGCGACCCCGCCCTCCTCAACGGCTCGTATTTGAAGCCACGGGGCAGGGAACAGAGCGTCAGTCACCCACCAAATTACACTGAGAACACTATGAAGGTGAGGTGAAGTGACATGTCAAGACAACATACCATTAAATGTTTGATTACGTCATATTCTGTCCAATATCGGAGTGGTTGTATTTTGCACTGCCTAAGAGCGTGTTATCCAGTACGTTATGTCATTTCAGGTCTTCGTTCTCGCCGCTGTTCTGTCGGTGGCTGTAGCCCAAAGCTACGGCCAGGCGCCCGCCCCACGCTACGCTCCAGCTAAGGCACCACGCTACACTCCTGCTCCGGCGCCGAGCCACGCCCCGGCTACGCCGTACGGCCGGGCGCCCTCCTACGCCCCGTCGTACCAGGATCCGCGCTACTACGCCCAGCCGTACCAGTTCGCGTACGCCGTCAACGACCATTACAGCGGATCAGTGTTCTCCCAGAACGAGAACGGCGACGCCAAGGTCGTACAGGGCTACTACTCGGTCAACCTGCCCGACGGCCGGGTCCAGCACGTCAAGTACACGGCTGACAACCAGGGCTATGGCGGCTACAACGCCGAGGTCACCTACGATGGGGAGGCCCAGTACCCCAAGCGGGCCAGCTACGCCCCAGCCCGCTCCTACGCTCCTGCCGCTCCCTCCTACAAGGCTGGTCCCTCTTATCAGCCTGCCCCTTCGTACAAGGCCTTTCCCTCTTACCAGCCCGCCCACTCCTACCAGTCTGGCCCCTCTTACACACCTGCTCGTTTTTCCAAGACTGCTGCTTCTTACCGGCCTCCTGCTCCTAACAAGCCCGCTCAATCTTACGGAGCGCCTTTCAAGTCGTATTAGAAGTGTGTAAAAGTAAGATAAGTGTGTGTGTTCATATTTTATTGCTTCCTATTTAAGTGTGTATTCTACGTCTGTGGTGCGGTGAATTGCATGCAATATACTGTTGCGTATTTGAAACAGCAATTACGTGGCACAAACCCAGCAGTTCGAATCGGCCAGCAAACAAACCGTAGTATTCTGGCCACACATCTGGGCGCAAGTACCCAATGCAGCTGACGCGCCCTCAAAACTCAGAAACTACCAGGTCGCACATCGGGGGAAGGATGATAGCGACTGAGGAAACACTTCCATAACATTCGTGTTGTATGATCCTGAAGCAGTGGGGAACTGCGACTGACACGACGCCTGATATTGCGTGAAATCGCTAATAAAGGATTACTGGGACAAAGCACAAAATACTGTCAAATTGTTAAACGGAGACATGCAACTGAAGGGAGGGCTGGCTTCAAACTCTGCACCAGAACATCATCTTGTGCACGAAGCACACAAGCAATAACATTTCAAACGTTGTTGGCTTTGTTCATATTTGGAAAGCCTCTCTTGTAACCAGCAATTCTGTGCTGGCTTGCGGTAAAAATTAAAAAAAATAAAAACGTTGGGGCAGAACAAATCCAACCATACGACACGACAACCATTCGGAACCAGGCAATCCATGACGTCATCTACAGCACAAAATGGCCGTCATGGAAACGTTACACACGCAAGGTACAACACAACACAAGCAATGCGAAGCTGTCTAAATTTCGCATGCACCATATCTAAAGAATACGCTTAGTTGCACCGTAGAATTTTCTCAGGATAAACAAAGTGATGCATTCAATATAAAGGCAGCATGCGCCAATAGACAGCACAGGTACCGTTACATAGTTCCCATCACCGCCAACTGCGTGGCCAGAGGCACTCAAGGTAACAACTTATGGCGCGTGACATAAAACGCGCTTGATATAACAGTGTTGTCTTGATATAGCAGTGTGTAACGGTGTTCAGCTCCAGGTATTTCGGCGGTTTGATTTCTTGGCCCCCAAAGTTTTTATGCTTAGTTAACGAACTCCAATATAGGAGAGGATATTGGCGTTGATGTACTTATCTCTTGAAGATGAGTGCAGCTCGAAATACCGAGCACCTCCAATACAATAGCTGTCAAACACCATAACGTCGCTTAACCAGTACCTGGTGACCAATTGCAAGTGGTTAACTCTGTATGACAACATTCAACTCACAACACCTAAAACGTGCACATATCCCGACTGTAGCATGCGATTGCCCTGTCTTGTGTTACAACGACGGACTGCGTACTTCCACTGTCGACCACTGAAATGCGTGTGAAGTTTGTGCAGATCACAAGGTGTTAATGCAGCGGGAGGTCAGACTTAACATTCGGATCATCTTGCTGTGACACAGGGCACGGCGCAGTGGTGATAATGGGTAGAACATGATCTTGCCAGTAAACATTGTGGGAAAGTGGGTCGATTGCGCGAAGATCATGGGTGGAACTAGTGCGTAATGATCGTGTCAGTTGAATCATGTGCGTGTTGTGTGGAGATGTGTTGGCCTTAATTAGCGCATATGTTAAGAGAAATATAAAAGGGCGACGAGAGGAACACGGAAGCAATATAAGGATGCCACCAACAGGCAGGCCAGTTACAGTAACTGAACGACGGCAGGGTTACACTGAGGCTGCATGTTGCATGTGCAACAGTTCATTACAATATGAATGTTTCAGTGTTAAGCTTATCTCTTGTTCCGCGTCCAAGAAAGTTGGGATGTCTGTTTTATACATATTTCCATAAGACAAAAAATGTGCTGGAATACTTCCGGAAATGGTGTAAATTCATCTGAACAAAAAATAAGGACCAAGGGCATTATCAACTCCTTCCATAGGAGAAATGAAATGATAAAAAATAGGAAGAATGGAACAAAACTTACCGGAATACTTGCAAAATATATGGAAATTGGTGGGATGAAAACTAAACATGAGACGCAGTCAAAATGTATTTCTTCCA